CCACTGGACATCTGGGCATATATCGGACACATCTAACTTTATATAGTGCAAGGAGTTAAGATGTTCGACAAGCATTCTGACAACCAAAAAATCTTTCCATTGTGCATCTCTCGAAACCTTGTGGGTTTTTTTTTTTTTTTTTTTTTGTCAATATTAACTACAAAACTCGTGATTCTGAGTATAGCAAGCAATACTTAACGAATACTGCCATGATGCTAAGGTTTTGCCCCAGCCCTCATCCTCCACAATTGAGAGACACGCTCTTTTAACAATTATACTCTTGATTTTATCAAAACCATCTCGGCCAAGTCATAAACCCTTCATCATGTCTTTACTTCAGATTAATGTTTTTGTCGAGTTTGCATTAATAAAGAATAGGAAAATATATTAATGTATTGTTTAATCATCTTTACCTGTTTTTATGTCACCTAAGATTTATTCCAAAAAGAAAACCTAAAGTGATCTATTTCTTGTTTAACATCAATGAAGTACTAACTAACTTGAAGTGAAACCAAGGCTGTGCTGTTCACCTAGATGCAGTCATCACAGGGGGAATGGGGAATTTTCATCAATTACTTACAGCTGTCACGATGGTGTTAGAGGAGATAAGGCAGTAAGTGATATCGCGGTTCAATTACAACTCGATTGCATTAATCTGTTTGAAGAGGAAAGTAAAATCGAGAAGCGGAAGTGTTGAAATGAAGTTTTGAAGAACTCCCAGAACATAAGTTCTTAAAAAGGCATTTCGTCTATCAAAGCACTATTCATCCTTTTTCCGGACGATTCACAGCCGTACTAAAATCCTAATCGATAGAAAAACCTGTTTTTGGAAGGTTCTTTTCCAAGAACGTATATGTTTGGGAAAATTATTGAAGTGGGGTATTGAAATATATTGAAGAAAATAGCATGAGTATGCAGTTGGTAATGTGTTTTTGTTCTTGTTTTGTCCGATTTTTATTGACATTATGTTGGTTGAACTAGATTTACACGGCAGTTTCGTCAATGAAGTAGAAGGCACATCTTACCTCTAAAACTCTTCAGCACCTTAGCCTTAATGTAGATTTTTTTTCATCGTTTGATTCACTTTTGTGTTGGAATTACGATTTTGGATACAAGGTGGTATTCCATGGTTTTCAAAGGTCTTTATTGATCTCACGAATTGACTTGTGATGCTGAAAGTCGGAAGGTTTTATACAAACGACAGTCTGGTACAGTAGATCAACACTTAATTATGAACAGTCGATTTTATGATTCCCAACAGAGTAATGGCCGGTCCAGGCAAGTTTAGCCTCTAATCCAAAGTTAATTGTGGAATATGTAAATCCCACTCCCCTCCTTGGGGTGTTGATGACTTGTACACTTCACTCTTGTTAGGATAACGGAAATCCATCGAAGACTGGCTGAGCTGTAATGTGTGCTGATAATTGAACTAATGTAATTACATAACCCTAATTTGGTCATGAATACAAAACAAAAATTGCAGAAGATCGTTGATGACCAATGCATTCCATCTGCGTGAACTGAAATTTGATCATTGTTTTCACATGTAAATCATATCTGCCGACCCTGAAATATTGGATGTCATAACTACAGGAAATGTGCATCGATACAACACGTTTTCTATAAAGCCTGACTGTTACTACTACGGTTAGATTTTGATACAAGGTTCTGTTGACTACAAAAAAGAACAACGCTTAAGACAACTTTTATTAACGTTCGGGATTACACAAGTCAAAATTTTGTATCCTTACCTAGACTCGTACCGCCAAATCACGGAAACATACTTCAGAAGAACACGGCCAGTTTTGCAGAAGCTGGTTTATGAACAACCGTCAGAAAAAAAAACTATAGGAAATTATATTATGGATAGTTCATAGATACGAACTACAACCACAAAATGCCGTAAGATTTTCTGGATGACTTGCGGATGTTTCCTTATCCTCAAACAACATAACAGCCACGTTACAGTCACAACTTCATAGAAATTACATACAAACATATATAAATTGAGCTAGAAAACATTCTGAACGCAATCAAAGCTGATGCAAAAGAGAAAATAATAAAAAAATTCGTATTTGATTGAGAAAATATTTTTATGAAACATTCGAGATTTGTGGTGCAATCTAAAACGTTATATTTTTTTTCTAAATTTCGCATTAGTTGTAGGCAAGCTGAGTAAACTAACAAAACCATATATCACCATTATACACTGACAGACACTCGTATGAAATACATTAAGGTAGCAATCGGTAATACCATTTTTTATTTTGTCGAGTTTTCCCTGGAGAGCTGTTCATTGATATCCGCATGCAATAAAAGAACAGAAAAACGTATCCCTATATTTAGTATGTCTTAATTTCCGTCTTCGAATTTCCCAGTACATCAACCTCAGACTTAGAAACATTTGTCGTTACGACATGGTTAGGTGTCAAGGAAAATGGCATTTAAACGCAAAACTTCGTTTAGTTATTTAAAAGATGATATTGTAGATCAGGTGGAGTTGATGGCGAATCGTCACATAGTCACAAATACATCTAACCGTTTTATAACGATCGTTGCATGAGTTCCAGTGACTAGAATAGTAAGATGGACAACTTTGATTTTAATTACATCGAAACAGCTGTCAACATATCAACAGGAACACTGAAAAATGCATTTCTCAAATAGCTAGTGAGATCTGAGAAAAACAAAATTTTTAATCAAGATAAATTCTTAATGCCGAATAATAATGACCGACAATTTGTATCTGATTTTCCAAACAATTTTCACGGAAATTTCAATCTCTGGTATAAAGATGAAGGTCACGTCAGGCAATCCTCCCACTGAAGTCGGCTGTCTTTTCGATATTGTATTTCATTGTTGTCGGAAATAAAACGAAAATGATACATATCACTGATTGCATTTGAAATTCCAATGAAACAGAATGAGAAAAACTGAGTTTTTTATGTAGGAGTCCTTAAACATATTGAGATTGAAATGAATCGATTTTTACTCAAACCATGTAATGGTGATTTCACATTGAAGATATATCATAGAACGCAGAGTTGAATTCAACGTCTCGTCGGAGACATCCATTAGCCTTAAGCTTAAAAAAGTATACAGAAAAAATCTACAATAGTTCCCCTTCCATTCACTGGGAATTACATTTTTATTCCATTGTTCTGCCGAGCTGTAATTGCTGGCAGTGATGGGGAAATCAAATGAGGTCGGAAAGATGTTTTATCTGAGTAATGACCATGGATTGTCAAAAGCACAACGTGAGTTCTCCCTGGTGAATAGATGGTATGATTTCTTTAGCCTTAATCACTTCCGTCTTGGTCAAAATATTGTCCAGTCTAAGCAATGCGCATTGAGTGGGGGATTGATGGATGCATTTTCCGTTCTCTATGCCCATGGTCTGTTACATGTACTGTACACAAAGTACAAATCCTCCGAGGTGCTTCTCTGCCGTCATCAATCACTATGCTCAAGCTATGTCGATAATCACAGCCGTTTAGGCATAAGTAATACATTTTTAATATGTTCCTAGGCATTCTTTTTACATCATTCAATTGTGCATGATAAAGGCTAGTTAAAAACTTAAATTAATAGGTGTAGTTATTTTACAGAAATTAACCGTTACCTAAAATGCGATTATGAAATATTTGATGTCTGCTCCAATTAGTAATTTGATTTTAATGTAGTAACATAATTTTTATCACCTGGCAAATTTTTCTGAAAAAGACCTTTTTTGGCGGATGTGATTTAAAACTTCTCCAAGATGGTATGAGACCTGCACACAAGGCATGATGTTTTCTGCACGAACACTTCCAATACAATATTTATTTGCAGCAATTTCCCCAATGATATATTCACACCTATAGCAACACATCTGCGGCTAAAGAAACTTGAAGAAAAATCAAAGCAAAACAATACAAAAACAAATGTAAATTTGTTGTTGGTGGAAAAGAAATATAAGCAGTCGACGACCTCTGAGACCTTTAGAAAGTATTCACATCAAATTAGTTTTCACCGCGTGTTATTAAACATGCAGTATGACGTTGTTATGACAATTGTACGGGGGCGTATCTGATAGTTATGTTTCGTGTGTAATAAACGATGCTTTGCGACGGTGTCCTTTAGTAAATGTAATGTGATGAAATCTACTACACCTACATGAAGCTGAGAAGTGGTGTATTCTAAGCTGATGAAATGCAGAATGTTTTTCATTTTGAATTCTCCGATAAATCTACTAAAAAGAGAGATTTTTGTCACATAAATATTTGATAATGCCCCCAATCACACCTACATGAAACATTCTTTTTTACCAAATCATGCTGTGTTCTATCACCTTCAACAGATGCAGATCGTTCAATGTACAAGTATTTGATGTTACTTTATGTGTGATATACTTCTTTAGCAATGTTTTATATGTGATCTTGTTGCCTAAAAGTTGTATATTTCTTGATCACATATATCACAATTAATTATCTCTCATCATTAACGTTTAGCAGACACGATATAGTCTGTTTCAGTCCGTGCTCTACAATTCTCTTTTCATTATCTCTCTCAATCATAGTCATTGTTTAGTAGAGTTGGTATGATATCACGTACACCTAGACGACTCGGGTTCGATTTGATTCCCCCGATAGACGTGAAAAGACATATTGTCAGATCGTAAATCATATGACCAGATGTTCTGGAAGAGGTAGCGTCTTCTGCATCATGAATTACACCTGTCATGTAAACCTTGGTCAATCCAAGTAAGTAATGACACGTTCTCAAATGAGAAAAAGGTATACAACAACGAAACCAGCAAACAAACAAGCATCATCTACGTCCACATAGTATCTTGGAGCGTGTGTGACAAGTGAAAGCCTTCCTGTATAAGGACAACAAATGTTTTTTAAGCAAAACAAAGATTTTATCAATCAAGTAAACTACCTAAAGTATATCACCATCATATGGTTTTTCTTTTTCATATACAAGTATATCAACATCATATGGCTTTTCTTTTTCAGATACAAGTATATCAACATCATATGGTTTTGTTCAAACTGGTTAGCAATGTCCAATTCCTGCTACAATCCGTTTATCTACGGTCTTCTTAACGTGAGTACATCATTAAATATCAGATATCTTCTATAGTCAAAAGTGATACCATTCATTCATGTAAAAGGATATTGCAATTATCTTCTGATGGTGTAAATTTTCGTGGTTTTTCCTATCGCTTAAAATTATTTTACTTAAATTATGCATTCAATTGATTTTATTTCCATGGTGCCTGTTTCATCTTTAAAAAAAACCCAAAAGGAATTTTAAAAACTCGAATATAACCATCAGATTTGAAAGGGAAGATAGGCTCTCATTATTGAAATAGAAAAAAAATCAACATTGACTATCAATCACTTCTTCAACGAAGAACAGACTTATTGCTGAGAATATTTGTTTCACCGAACTTTGAAGAAAAAGGGATATAAATAGAAAGCGAAACAAAAAAAATCAGTTTGCCATATAATCTCCTATTTAGATAAATGTAAAATCTATCTATAGAAAGGCTTCCTGATACTTTATTTTCCACATGGTAATGAAAAGAAAGAGCGGCAAATTGAAAAAAAAAACTGTTCATTAAACATGCCGTCTAATATGAAAATGAAGTTATGTTCTACTTCATAAAGAACGTGAATACCTCATTAGCAGTAAAAATTGCAATCCGGAGGAAAAGACCATAAAGACAGAAATGGCGATTTCTTAGTAATAAAGCATTTGTTCCGATTCCCGTAAAACACAAAGCCTTGATCAGTCTCCAGCATCAACTCAATCATGTTGCTCTACTTTTTTTAAGATTTCCTTAAATAACGTGTTTCTCTAATGTTAACTATGGAATTTGCATATTGTATATAAGCATTTAAAGGGTACATTGGAGAAGTTGAGATATATTCCAGTAACGGTTCCTAATTATATCGACCAAAATACATTTCCTTTCTTAATTTTGCAAATGTAGGCATCTTGCTACGTCATCTTAAATTGATATCATCAAGACAAGAATATTACACTTTACTCTTCTGCTTTTATCTCTCATCACTGTTGAGTTTAAACATTTGCAAAAATGAAATTATAATTATATGCGTTGTTATATTGTAATGTAATTTGTAAAGGCGGCAAAAATTAACATTATCTTTTTTTTCTGCGCTGATTAGGTGGTATTTAAAACGGAATAAAAATCCTCTCTATATGACATTCTTATCCACAGGTTCAAACATTGAGTGGTTAATTTTGTTCTATAAATTGCACTCACGGAAAGCTGTCTCCAAACTGAACATTTGAAAAACAACATTGTGCAATTGGGTAACATTAGGATTCGCAAAACGGTTTGACTCTCTCTGAACAGGATTTAATGTTATCCAGGATCACTCTCAAAAGTACACTTCAGAAATTTTCTACTTAAAAGGATTTCGGCTTGGGGTAAAAACAACTCCTTTTTTGTCGTAAATGTTCGTTGTACTCTTATGCTTGATGACAGATCTTCGAGTAAAAGTCGCATACAATTGATCACGAATGTAAATAATGAGGTGATAAAGTTTCACATATTCTAAAATTAAGTTATTCATACTGCCTCCTGTATATAAGTTTTAAAATTATTCATTTGGGGACCATTTATTTCTGAGCTGGTCTTAGCCATAATTCTTGTACGTTTCAGAAATGTGTTAGTCGCAAGGGACAAATGACTCTCGGGTCAAGTTTTTGAAAGGTTGGCATGCAAAACAAAAGTAAGATGTATTTATGTACATGTATAGTAAAACATATATAGCAATGAAAACAGAATATGAACATAACATGAAAATGTGCCCTCAACTCACCTCCCAGAAGCCTCCCTTACGGATGTGAGGGAAACATGAGAGCGCTTACAAAAGCAATAACGATTAGAAAACAATAGATGGATTATCATTATCATTTTTTTCTAAATTCATAAATTTGTTTTAAAATCTCGCTTTTCTTCTTCAATTTGTCTTGTCAAAAAATATCAGCTATAAGTAAATGTTAACTCAACCGTTACGATAACGATGACATAACATTCAGGAATTTCAGGGAAAGTTTATTTCCCGAGCTCTTCATCATGTCGAAAACTTGATATGAACAATCCACCGACACAGATTTAGTTTATTCTTATTTCTAGATTGATATAGAATGAAAAAAGCACACACGTAACGTCAAACTTAAAATTGAAAAGTACATAGCCATACAAGGATTTCACCTGCGTCACCCAGCAGTTTCGTAATTCCAGGTCACATTAGTGATGATATTGGCCTTTAGTATTGGGACCGACTTGAGTGAAATTGAAATTTAACGAACAAAAATGTCAAAATAAAGAAAAAAAGGCACAATAAAGACATAATTCAATAACTCATTATTTTCAAAATAGAGTCATGTGCATGCGTATTTTCTGAAGCGTACAATTATTCAGATGTATAATGTTAAACATTGGGGACTAAAATCCATCTGCATAAAGTGCGATCACTGCATTCTCAAAGGTTTATAACCCACAATTCAATGTCACTAAATCAAAACAATTCCGCCATGTCAGTGAAATACGGGTATTAATTGACTAAAACTAACATTGACTGGAAATGAAATTGCAACATTCTCTATTTTTGGAAGAATTTCATATTTCATCAAATTTGACTTAAATGTACGATTCCTAGGCTGACTTAAATTGGACACCTCCATTGACATTGAAAACAATTTTAGTGACGTCATCAATTAAGCTTCATAGTGACGTGATTCAAATATCAGGAAAGACCGTATACAAATGTATCATCTTTCAAGAGATTATAAAAGAATTTATGCTGAGTTTACTGGGTAAACAGGTTGTCAAGATGGCTGATATCTCAATTGATATTACACCAGGTGAAGATCCAAAGTGTTTGGTTCGATTCCTGCTGGGGGTAGTTTGTACTTTCCAGGAAGACGAGATCACCGTCCCTCTTCTATTGTTGTAGTTGTGTTCTCAACTCATTTGTTTTGGATAATATGCGACGGACCTCCTACATTATCATCAGTGAGGTCGTCACTAATTTATATACCGCGACAACGCCTCCAAATGACACTGGCTGTCTCAGGAGCGGTCGATAAACCTAACACGCAAACAATGAAAGAAATAATTCGAAAAAGAAAAAGGTTCTTGCATTAACAACTTAAGTCCGTGATTTATAGTTCCCGGGTTTGAGCTGTAACACAGTAAAATATGAACATGCTAGTAATCTGGGCTGTTTGAAACTTCCTATAAAAGATTCTTAAGCTAATCTCTGTCACCTAATATCTACCACCATAAGTGAGAAACAAACATGTTGGTTTCTCTCAGTTAGTTGGTCGTTTAAGATACTTGACATTTTGTAGATGCAATTGCCTTCGATTTTAGGATGGATTTGATGTGATACGGGCAGAAGTATTAATTTAAAGGAAAAGATCCGTGTCGGTTGTCTAGGCTGGCTGTTAGGGATTCTGAGATCGTCTGTAAGGCTGAAGTCTGAAACAGCTTCACAATGATATATAGCTCCCGACAAATAGTTGTAACACAGTAGAATATCTCGTCGTTAGATTGAGATGACGCCCAGGCTTGTTGTCATGACTATACAATTAAACTCTAGGATTTTGGCCACTTATTTCGTGCTGTAACGTTAACAAGGCTGCGCATGTCGAACAAATAAATAACCTGCAGTTGATTGTTTGTCTACTGCAAGAGTGAGTACAGCGCCACCACAACAGCATTGAAATTGCTGCACATGGCGCTATATCCATGCAAATAACACAATTCGCTTATTCAAAATGGTCCTGCGTTTGAAAAGCTGGCACTCACTTGAATCCTTGAACATAGCTAGCCACACATGTATGCTTGACATGCATGTGTAACCTCGCATTACTGCGTGTTCAACGCCTGTGTGACAGTATGTATTCTGCCACGATTGGAAAGAAAATTGATAGCAACTCAGCCGTTTTCAATCGTGTTTGGTCTTCAAATTCTGACATGTCCGTTTACGGGATATTGACCGCTAGTATCGGTAATTGAATACGTTCGTCATGACTGGACATTCGCACTAAACTCTTTTTCTTGACCGCTATTCACAATGAACAAGCCATACAATTTGGTGCCATAGAGAGAATTGCAAGTGTCATTCAAAATTAACACATTGACAGAAAACATTTAAAACTGGCGGAAATAGACGTTTCAGTTAAGCGCTTATAAGCTGATGGATTTTCAAGAGGAAAACTAGTCTTTCCTTTCCAATACAGATAGGATACTCTGTCAATCAGGGAGTTATCATAATAAAGTTACCCTGGTGTCGTGCTTTATAGGTGACATAAAAGACATTCAACATGAACCTCGTCATATACAAAGACACGTCTTTTTTATTTCCATTAATACTAAAATAAGATACATCAAAATAACCCATAGCCATCAAAGTTTAAATTATTTGAGATTTTGAAAACAACAAAATTAAAATGTAATCCAGACTGACGACTACAATATGGGTTCTGACACCGACATTTCGATTTTATTCCAGTGACGTGACGAAAAAATGTTTTCAAAGTGTTAGACAAGAAATATTTCAAATACTTAAGATACCCCAAAAATTGAAAATACATCAAAAAAGATGAACATCGTTAGTTCTTAAAATTGTTTTGTACTTCAAAGATATTTCCAGTCGAAGACACATTGATCCATTTATTTATTTATTTGTTTTATTTTGGTGGTAATAACAGAATATATAAGTCATGATATAAAACTTGATCAGTGGCAATCCTTTAAGCATCACATACCGTACCATTGTACAGATTGTCTGTATATCCCCACAGGGCTATCAACAGTTTCCATTGATTAAAAGTTACTGAAATTGACAGCAGCGAAGGAACGAAATGGCCGAATGGAAAAAATATGTCATTCTCACAAGCAATCGAAAAATGGATTTGTTTAACCTAGACTAAAGAATGTTGCGTAGCGTAGCTAGGATAATGAATCACTCTCATTGTCTACTGCATACCTACACCCATTGATGTAGTAGAAAGGGTTTTTTGTAATGTATTAGGTAACAAGGGATTTGACAAGGATTTCCTTCCGGCAAACAAAAAACATAATCAATTTCGATATGTATTTCGTTTCCTGGAGTCGATTTCTTTAATGGTTTTCCCGAAGACACAATTTGATGTACATTAAAAGGAAAAGCCACGTGATTGCTGTTTTTCATTACGCAAGACAACAAAAATAAAAAGCACTTAAATGTATTAATGTGTAGATTTCTGATGAGTGTTACCTGAACAGGGGGTTTCTACCAGTTTCTGACATTACAAACTAAATTCTACAAAATAGTCCCTGTCAACCAATCATATTGCAAAACAATAGATATTTATCACATGTGTTTTATTGAGTTTAGATGTGTTAGGTATATTACAAAACAGAGTTATTGAGTTAGGCTGGGAAATAACTAGTCACGTGGTTATACAAACCTCTGGCATTGACAAGGCCGATTATCTCGATCAAAATTATCAATATTTTCTCAAGAAGTCACGGCTTCATGTCCAAGTAGAATTTTTTTTTACATTGTTCTCGTTTCAGGAGAAGTTCAAGAGGGAGTTCAGACTACTTTTCCGCGTTTGTGCGTGTCGACGTTCTGAAAAGGAGAGTGAGTTGGGAGAATACTCCGACGACAGTGCCATAAATCGGGGAAGTACGGTGATGCTGAATGGACGAGAAACTCTTCAGCTCAACGGCAAAATACATAAATCACGCAGAAACACGAGACCTACGCACACAAACGAGACGGAACAAAGTATGATATAGTGTGCGCGTCTACCGGAACCGGATGTTGAATTATAACATTAACAGTTCCGGATAATGTCAATGGACGATGTTCAGAATGATTCGAACTGCGGATTTTGTAGATATAAGAATGAGTTGGGAGGGTGAGCCATGTTATTGCTGTGAACATATATTTAACTATATAAATAAGATTTCCATCTTTATTTTAGTGACGTATTTTTTATATTATTTTCTGTCGTGTTAAGCGGTATGATATCATCATAGTGTGATATAAAGCAGGATGCCCAGCAACTTCACTCCTAATAGAAAATACAAAACCTGTTACCTTAACTTTGTTCGTCATTCTGAAGAGTTTTTTTTTTTTTGTAAAGTATAGGCAAAATATATGTGAGTTAAGTGTTGCCACTAGTAGTTCGATCCTTTCAGAGTATAGAGGTCGATTTGCTATATACAAATTAAATCAATGTTTGTGCTATGTATGGTTTTTAGCTTATCAGATTGTGAATATCAATGTATATTTGATCATTTATCTATATTTTCTATTGGAAATCATGTCTTTCAAAAAACTCCAAATTTATGATGTTTGCTTGTATAAGTTTCTTTAAACTCAGAAAAATGTTAATATTGATATTCAAAAATACTTTTAAAAAATTTCAATATATACTTATAAACTTCTTCGGTAAATACCGATTTCTTATCTTACAATTAAAGGACGACATGAAGAGCGCTGCAGGTACAATGAACAAAAATTGTTTCAGACCAAACCAAGGCAAGTAGCCAGATCCAAAGATCTAGGCTTTTCACCTAATGTCCATTATGACGTTACTGTTACTGATGATGCAAAACTGATTTAGAAACCCCAGACAAAACTGAAATTAATCTCTTAATCGTTCTGTTTTCACGATTTTGATTACATTTGATTTTTTTAATGAAATTTTGGTCTAAAGATACTATTTGTAGTGACAGATCATTCTAGATTTTCTGTTTATGATACAGTGTCGGCTTTGCCCTCTACAGCCGACACGTCATCAACATTGCCATTTCATAGCACCCTAGAATTTATACTGCTTTGATATGTTATTGAAAAACGCATCAAAGTAGAAATATTTACTTTCTTATACGAGAAAGGAAGTTTCGTTATACATCATATTTGATCTACAATTTTACTTTGTTTCCATTCCAGATCTTTTCTGAAATACTCAAGCAATAACGTTCAATGGATGAAGTGTTGGACCTAAATTTAAACTTGCACGTGAAATATATAGAAACACGATCTGAAATGAATTAACAACTTGTATTTGTCGTTATAATCAACAAATGACAGTAACTTGTTTTATATTTGATTTTATTCTCAACAAATATCACATTTCTCTTCTGTTTCTGACCTACTCATACCGCCCGTGTTATCCCTACCAATCTACTTATATCAAACACGACCATATATACATTATCACAAAGGTGCTGTTAGTAAAACTCTCCAATCTAATACATAAATTGAACACGTTATGCACCTGTTATCCAGCGAATACGCCGATATCTTTTTTTAAATATGTCAGTGGTGTAATATATCCTTAACCTTTGACATTTGTGGGTGTCGTCGATGAAATAGAAGACATTTACATTTCCGGAACATCTGGTATTTTTCTCCTCAAACTTTTTCGCGATTCTCCTGTAAATCTTTGTTAATATTTTGCCCTAGATATATTTAATTTGAGTTTAGATTATGATTCAGTTCTTTGTTCGCTTCTTGTTGTTGTTAAAACTTTCAAATTGTAGCATTTCTGTGTTAGATGTTAAAATTTATATTTTCTCTTTTAATATGAGATTTTGTGAATTTCGTCTCGCCAAAGCTCGCAAAAATAAAATCTGCTAAGACTCGTTTCATGAAGCCATGTTTGAAATAAAAACTACTAAGATAAAAAAAAATATATATATATATATATACTTTACAGGTTATCTATCAATGAGATTATTCCTTTGATATTAAAAATCATATCAGTTACAGTCCATATATTTCTCATTGCATCGGCAATGTTTAGTCCATATTACACCAAAAATATTATCTTCCATCAAGTATAGCCACAAAATCGAAATGAATACTGAAATTAATGTCATTTACCATTTACCAATAAAAAACATTTTCATCTCTCATATGTTTCATTAGATATTATCTATTGAATTCGTCATCCACATGTAATTATTTTAAATAACGCCTACCGAACCCATGACTGACTAAAAGCTCTGCTTTAAATGTGACGCAATAACTGCATGACATCACAGGCGCTGTTATTTCAGTAAATAAAGGCATGACGTCAACATATTAAAATCATTATTTATTCAGTCAAACAAAACGTAACAAAGGGCATCCTTAACTCTGAAATAAAGTTCGCATGTCGATTAAAAAAATTATCACCTTTTAAGAACGATAAATCTGGATCACCAAAGACTTGCTAAATGTTTGTGTCTGTGACTTAAACTGCTATGTGTTGGTTACTTTGACTTCCGCTGCTATGTGTTGCTTTCTTTGACTTCCGCTGCTATGTGTTGGTTACTTTGACTTCCGCCGCTATGTGTTGGTTACTTTGACTTCCGCCGCTATGTGTTGGTTTCTTTGACTTCCGCTGCTATGCGTTGGTTACTTTGACTTCCGCCGCTATGTGTTGGTTACTTTGACTTCCGCCGCTATGTGTTGGTTTCTTTGACTTCCGCTGCTATGTGTTGGTTTCTTTGACTTCCGCCGCTATGTGTTGGTTACTTTGACTTCCGCCGCTATGTGTTGGTTACTTTGACTTCCGCTGCTATGTGTTGGTTACTTTGACTTCCGCTGCTATGTGCTGGTTACTTTGACTTCCGCCGCTGCGTGCTGGTTACTTTGATTTCCGCCGCTATGTGTTGGTTACTTTGACTTCCGCCGCTATGTGTTGGTTACTTTGACTTCCGCTGCTATGTGTTGGTTACTTTGACTTCCGCTGCTATGTGTTGGTTACTTTGACTTCCGCTGCTATGTGTTGGTTACTTTGACTTCCGCTGCTATGTGTTGGTTACTTTGACTTCCGCCGCTATGTGTTGGTTACTTTGACTTCCGCCGCTATGTGTTGATTACTTTGAGGTCAGCTGCTTATTTTTGACCTCAGCTGCTATGCGTTGGTTACTTTGAGGTCAGCTGCTAATCTTTGACCTCTGCTACTATGTGTTGGTTACTTTGCTCGACTTCAGCTACTCCAAGCTTTTGGTGTAGCCAACAAATAAGCAAGTAGTGTAGGGTTTGTCTAAGTTGAAGAAAACATGCCACAGTAGGCACAGAGCTGGGTTACACTTTACCATATAAGGTTCCTTAGATGAAGTTTGTATTGCTAATGGGACGTAACACCTTTGTATTTATCATAACAAATGTGACAATGGTCGCTGGATGCTGCTTGTCGTTTGTCTGATAGAAATAAAAGTATTTTGAAGTATGTTGACATGTTTGTTTTTATTGATGAGTTAACTTCCGACTGAACATCAAAATGAAGGGTTCGTTTCGTTTCATTTTGGTTGTATAAAAGACACATTAGCGAACAGCACCTGTCCATGCTAATGACACATTAGTGGCAAGTAATGAATTAAACTGTACCATACAGCTGCTCGTCCTTCTGAAACTCATCACTGATGTTAGGACTCTAAATTATTATACCAGGAGGGCGACTGAGAAAAACCAAAACTGTTCGAAAGAAATATCAAAACCTAAGATCTGGGATGATGAATTCAAAAGAAGTTAAAGTACGTGTGTTTATTCTTAATGTTGGTATATAAAATGATTAAATTTATTCAATATGAAGCTAATGCACCTCTCCATCTAGATTTTCACATTTCTCTCGATCAAATTGGATCTCCCTCAATCGCGACCTATGTTTCAATTTTTTCGCGTTTGATTAATTATGGTGATGTATCGATATTTATTGTTTCTTTGAGTAAACAAAAAATATCGTTGAAACACAAACAGTCGTTCCGCAATGCGTTACCTATTAACACATGTTAACAATGTATTTTAAGATAATTTGCTTGATTTTTAATGTGACACTGACGTGTATGATCTACGGAAATTGATCCCTGCTGTAGATCAACCAGCCGCTCCCACGTGTCAAAATACAGCAATGAAACTCTTTGGTAATCTCTGACACCATCGATATAGTCAAATGCTGCTGTAGATTCCAACAGCGATTGTTTACAACTGGGTATCTATCTCCGCGTTTGATGGAAACAGTGGGTAATTTCGACTGGTTTTAACGATATTACTTTGAAATGTTTTTTTAACATATGATTATATTTCTACTTTATGTCAAAGCATGTAATTGTCTATTTCACGTTTTATCACCATTTGAAATCAGTTGAAACAGAAAGAAGAGAAATCTCCAGTGAATTGTAAAGTCAGGAAAATTAATTCATTCAAAATAGATGAAATCTCCATTGAATTGTAAAGTCAGGAAAATTAATTCATTTAAAACGGAAATATCGAAATGAAAGCATTTCGATAAAAAGATTTTTGACAAAAAATATCCGTCAAGTAAAAAAAAAACTGCAGCAATTTTAATCAAACGGTGTTCTTGTCCTCAGAAGCTAGCCTGCAGGTATGACGTCAGAATTTTTATACCTGCTTCCCCTATTTCATTGTCGTAAGAGGTGGCTAAATATATTTAAATATTCTCTCGTTCCCAAACATTTTTTCTTCACATTGTCTCTCTCGATTCTACCTTATTTTAGTGTAAAATGTTGAATGTTCGCCAAACGGAGGAAATCTATGGGTTTCCGGAGGCCTGAATCCCCCTCAGTAGAGTGGGGCCGTCTATGGCGGTGTGTGTTTCATCATGCTAGTTTTAGAAGACAGTTCCGGGGTCTGAAACATGTCCAGAGCTGGAAAGGAAGAATTTGAGGCCTACATAAATTTGGTCTACGATAGGATAACCTAAAGTCGAAATCAAAAGTTGTCTATTTGATTAAGTCATAGGGTAATTGACTAATGTCTACTTTTGATGATAAAACCGTTCTAAGCATACAGGTTTAGTTTACGTTTCGTGATGTAGTCAGTAAAATTTTCACATTTAGGTAAGAATCTGTCTCATGGGATTTTTTCAAGTTAAAAATGATTACTTCCTTTCAATAAAAACAGTTTGTAAATGATTGAAAAGGTGTCACCGTGAAAAACATAACATGGTTTTAAAGATTACAATTGGTTGCGGAGAGTATTTCTCAGCTTCATTTTTCAGTATTCAAAGAGAGATATATAGATATATCAGTAAAATGATATTGTCTTGATATAATCGGCAATCCCACTGTCAATAAAATGAAGTTTCTGACAGCTTTCCATTTCCGATGGTACAGGGAGACAAGGAGGAAGTGCTTTTAGCAGGAGTGCTTCAATTTCTTAATAATTTTATAACATGATTGTTAGAAAAGCTGAATAAAAAAAAATGATACCAAATATTTTAGATCCATTTTAATGGAGCGTAAAGAATAGCATTACATTCTTATGGTCAATATTTAACTAACAAGAAAAAAACCGACTTTAAACTCGAAATTGGTGAACATATGACTAAAAGGTTTACACGATAAAATCCAAGGAGTAAAAGACAGGTGTTCCGGAAGGACAAGCCTCTTCTGCTTTATCGACGACACCAGCTATTTTTAAGTCTTATTGAATAATGTGCTTTTCTCAAACAACAACTTCCCAATAAGATGAAGGTATATATAACACTTCTGAAATTCAGTCTATTGGTGAGCTGGATAAGGTCAATCAAAATTGAAAATCCATTATGTGATCTGTTTAAGGTAACGTGACAGGGCTGTTCAGCGTGTTGTAGGGTACACTATCCGCAAAGGATAAATTGTGATTTCTTCATAAATATCGCTGTTTGTAAAAATATTTTCATTTCTTAAATGGCTCTGTTTAAATCATTTTAAAGCCTACGTAACTGGGTATTGAAAGGCTGACCTAGAAGTGCCAGCCTGCGAAAAATCAATTATCACTGAATGACCCCAAAATAACCCAAGTTGTTTTCTCTCGAGGAGTCAGCTGGTACTAGGTCAACTTTGAATTGTCACCCCTCATCTCTAGGAGTCAGCTGGTACTATGTCAATTTTGAATTGTCACCCCTTCTCTCTAGGAGTCAGCTGGTACAATGTCTATCTAAAACTGACAACCCTCCTCTCTAGGAATCAGCTAGCACTACGTCTATCAAGAATTGTCACCTTTTCTCTCTCTAGGAATCATTTGGTACCATGCCTATCTTTAATTTTCACCTCTACTCTCTAGGAATCAGCTGGTACAATGTCTGTCTTAATTTGACATCCCTTCTCTCTAGGAATCAGGAAGTACAATGTCTATCTAAAATTGTCATCCCTCCTCACTAGGAATCAGCTTGTATTATCTACAACTAGAATTGTCACGCCTTCTCTCTAGGAATCAGCTGATACTGTGTTTATCTAGAATTGTCATCCCTCCTCTCTAGGAATCAGCTGATACTGTGTTTATCTAGAATTGTCATCCCTCCTCTCTAGGAATCAGCTGATACTGTGTTTATCTAGAATTGTCATCCCTCCTCTCTAGGAATCAGCTTGTATTATGTACAACTAGAATTGTCACGCCTTCTCTCTAGGAATCAGCTGATACTGTGTTTATCTAGAATTGTCATCCCTCCTCTCTAGGAATCAGCTGATACTGTGTTTATCTAGCATTGTCATCCCTCCTCTCTAGGAATCAGCTGATACTGTGTTTATCTAGAATTGTCATCCCTTCTCTCTAGGAATCAGCTGATACTGTGTTCATCTAGAATTGTCATCCCTCCTCTCTAGGAATCAGCTGATACTATGATACTCTAAATTCTGTTCCTTTGTATTTTACATAGTGAAATCAGCTAACACTGGCAACAAAATACCTTCAAATCTCGCCTATCACGAAAGTTTGACCACCATATCCGACGGACATTTTATTCGATAAACATTCCACGTCCACAGAAGCATAGTGATAAGATTAATTATCAGTAATCGAAAACGCCATCCAGTTCTCTGCATTACAGTGGAGTGGGTACGCAATGCCTCGCAATGTGACGTCATACGCAGGAGTCGCTTATGCATAAGAAAATCAAGAAATATTTATTGCATAAAGATGTTTCTAAATTGTAAACGACTAACTTATTCTAAAAGAATGCTTATGCAACTCAGCTTTTCATTGGATAATTTTCATGATCTGATCCCCGATATACTCATGAATTCTGATGCTAGTCCAAATATGGCGGCCATCTTTCCGGTTGAAGCAGATAATAACAAAAAATGTGACATCGAAATGTGAATCGGAGAGTATAATGATGATGATCTTTAGGACACTTTTGTCCGCTTCAGGTGGGTTTGTTGGTAACGTCAGCCTGTCGATAAAGACGTCAGACTGTACCCAATCATTACAGGTGATATTCTCTATCCATGTATAAACTTCAGTCATGCTATCTATCATAGTTCGATGGTATTGTCTCCTACCTTTACTAGATATTATCTCCATTTGAAAGAAACGTACTGACAGGTCTTGTCGATGCCTCTCCACGATGTCCGTTGTTTTTTTACAGATCTACTTTAGTAACCAAATACCTATAGCAATTCAGAGATAGACATTACGAATTCCATGTATGGACACCAAGAATTAAAATGAATAACAATTTATACATATAATCCACACAGAGAAAAATTCTATGCCTTTTCAAGTGTCTCGACCTATATCTTGATCCGCATCTACCTTGACTGGAAAGTGTGTGGAGCTTCTACGTCATTAATGGTTGAAAGGACAAAATTGTTCAGGTTCTGGTTTTTGTTGAATTTCGTTGTATTGCGATAATTAGAACACATTAAAGCTCAAATTATTTCAGAATTGGGATAATATGTTCGTTTTTCGAATTTTGTCATTTTAACACGAAGACAAAACCAAAATTCATTATATAATCTCCAGGATACGCATAAAAACAAAAATACTATTCCCTAAGTATCCATATCGTTGATATATTAGTCAAGTCTAGGTTCAAGGTTTTGTCGGGCTATTTAATCAAGAAAATGTGGTTGCCGGAGTTCAAGGGTCAAAGTATTTGGTTACAATGAAGACGCCCAGCTGGGGACAAATCACAAGAAAATGTGAACAGGAAAATGGCCGATAATAAGTTTGTAATTCGTAACTAATATGGTATTTAGTAACCTTAAATTTAAATTTGGGACTGATATCAATTCATTGATGAAATCATCATACACTAATTGCAAGCATTTAAAAAAATCAAGAAAATACCAACATTGTAACATAATCATAATTCAAACTCAAATTCCAGTAAACTAGGAAAAATGTGGACAAAAGAGAGATTTACATGGAGATAAAGTTCAAAGAGAATAAGACAAGGCGTTCCGTAAGAGAAAAGCGTCTTCTGCTTCATCGATGACACACGCCATGTAAACCTAAGTAAATCCAAGTAGGTAATGACACGTTCTCAAATGAGGACAAGGTAAACAACAACGGAACCCACAGGCATATAAACGAGCATCAAACACTTACAGCTTCATGTCACATAAAGAAATAGAATAATTCCCGATGAGATCACTATGGCGACCACAACATTTCCCCATAATTTTCATCAACCTGCATCTTTTAAACCCTTATGTTACGAGTTTGTTAATCAGTTGACAACTTCTTGGACAAAAATCGTGATAATGAGAACAGGCCTTTGAATATCGAATTAACTGTGATAGGGATATTGCTATCCAGAAATGGAAAATTCACAACAGGGAAATTGAAATCATCACGTTTATCATACAACTTGATGGGAAGCAGTCCATGTTGGTTTCTTTGTAGGAAAAGATCAAGTTACACAGCTGATGTAGAAGAGTATGTCTTGTCTTTGATTTCCAATACTAATGGTTTATACTATTAACATGGTCTATAATCTTCTCGGTATTTAAAGACAAGACGTCATTAATATATCTGAAGGTGAAATTAAACGAATTTACAAGGTCTGTGTGACCAGTTTTGATAAGCTCTGCAATAAATTTGACCTCGTATGAAAAAAAGTCAGTCAACAGAGGGGTGCAGTTAGCCTCCAATAGGTTTGCCTATACTCTGCTGGAAGAACGTACCACCAAACCCTACGAGTATTTTGTCAACCATTTTTATGATTTCGTCATCCGCATATTTCTTCTTTGATTTGGGTGTAATTTGGCAGTCCTCTCCTCCCATACAGGTAACACCAGTGTATCGTTAATTTCCCTGTTCTTTGCGCCACACTTTCACGACGTATTTGGTTTAAGTATATAACTTCTACAGAAGTTATGCCTCAGGTCCCTGTGACAACTTTATATCTAATACCAGAATTCTGTCAGGATACAGACCCCTGTGTTGAGTTTCCATTAACCTCCGAACTTATGCAAATACAAAAAAATATGTTACATGTCCCTTTGATTGGAATGGTCTTTTTTAAAACCAAGTACGATGTTTACAACATCTGTTTTACTGTTATAGATATAGAAAAAGGACAAAAAAATCAAATCCCCTTTAGTATCGATATATATATTGTTGTAAAATATCTTCAATATAGCATCACATTAATTTTATTATATTAAATAACAAAAAAGTCATTTCACTGACAACATTTATCACCAGTCCTTTTTTGTCGCCTTCTGATGACGTCATCTGAAACGAAACGCCTATCAGTCACCTGACCAATGGTTGCCATTGTATCAATGAAAAGAGTGGAAAGGTTAAACTTCCATCCATGCTCACTTGTGCGATAGTCCTGCGGGAAAACGTGATGAAAATTATGAAATCCTTCTCCGGTAGTAAGCAGACTGACTCCTATATTCTCTCCGGGATCAATTCGAATATCATAAGGTTTGTTTCCCCAAGTATGTGCAGCACTGTTCACAAGGAATGTTGTATGATGTCCAATGATACAGCGAAGTATCCCGGCGGTGAAAAATGCTGTCACGAGGTCCTCTCCCCATAGCCCCCATGGGACAAGGGCGGGCATAACAAAGCCCATCAGTGTACAAAGCCAATTGTAGTACCTGAAACGTAATAAGAGTTTTAAAAAATAAGAACACTTGTACATTCAAAAATAAATATCGTTCTTCACACTCAGAATTGTGTTTAATGCTTTATGCACCAATGGAAAGTCAGTCGAAGTCGTCATCACAAGAGATATGTTGATATGATTTCTTAAATTTCATTGAAGTCTGTTAGACTTGTGCAATTAACCAATACCGGCTGTCAATAAATGTGTCGTTTTTATATAATACCATCATCGTATTCTAGGGGTTACAATCCCTTTCGTTCTCTGTACCCCTGTAACATGTCATGGCAAAAATTGAAGGCACAAACAAAATAATCTGATTAGTTCCAAGAGAAAAAAAACCTGACCAATCACAGGCTGCTATGCTCCTTTTGAAGATAGCAAAGCCATTACAATGTACCGCTATACGACCTCGAAATTCCTTTGATGTACATCAAAAGATCAAACTAGTCTTTTCGTCTTGTCCACAAAGTGTTACACCTGGGACCTTCCATTTTGCCATGACGTGTTCCAGGCGTACAAAGAGTGAAAGTGAAAGTTACCCCTGGAGTATCGAGAATGATGTAACACTGGGAACATAAATTGCTCTATAATCCTGTTTTTATTGCAATAAATTCTAGTTGTTTTATTTCCTAAGTTAAAAATACTTTATATTTGTACCTTTTCTGGAATGTGACGACAGGATCTGCGAGTAAGTCAGTTACATCAATGTTTTTACTTTTCTCGTTAAATTCTGGAAGCTTGTTGAGAAGGAGCCAGCCGATGTGAGAGAAAAAGAATCCACGTTTGGCGTTATGAGGGTCAGCATCCGTATCCGTGTACTTGTGATGGACACGATGGTCAAGAGCCCATTTGAAAATATCATTCTGTAAGAAAAAGCAGTCAAATAAAATAAGGCACACCTATGATCCATTACGGATTCCTGAATTTATTTTAAAGGTTTATACTGGCCAGAAAAAAAATGAGAATTAAAGTAAAATAAATGCCACTGAGCACGTGTTCAATTTGACGTCACTTTTAGTTAAGAAAACGGAAAAGGTACATCGTCAAAAGGGATATCGGGCTTCATGGATTACTCCTGTTGATGATAAATAATTTCAGTTTTAAATCATGTCTTAATCGACATAAGGCAAACAATATGTGAATGGAATTTAGATGATGGCATTTATAGTCGTCATAAATGACAAAGGTTTTGTAGGCAAACATACCACAACACGATATTATGTACACCTGAAAAGCTCAATAGTGGGATTGAATTGGTTTGAAATTGTTTACTTTTTGTTGCTGTACGTCCTATTAACAGCCAGGTGTCGTTTGAAGACGTGCTAGGTTTTGTTGGTGGATCAAAGCCGGCGTTCCCGGAGAAAACCCTACGACGTACGGCCAGTACGTGGCGACTGTCCCACGTAGGTCTCGTACCCGAGACCCAGAGGTGGATGGCTAGAGCTAATGACGCTCAGAGGCCTTGACCACTTGACCAACGCGAACCCTTTTTTGCTTAAAAAATGACTGTCTATTTCCCAAACGACAGTAAAATGTCGTGCAATAGTCTTTATTTTTCACTTTACGTATAGAAAGAACAATCTGAAAATTGGGACGTATATCATTTCTTAACCAATAGTATTGGTTTATGTATTGACGATTCACTATTACCTGTACGGTGGCTGTCTGGCCTAACATGAGAAATATCCGAAGTGGAAGTTTAGCTTTGTACGTTCTGTGTGCCCACAAACGGTGATTTCCGGCCGTGATACTGATCTGGCAGAATACGTGCAATGCACATCCTTCAACAGAGAGAAACAGAATCATTAACTAAATTGTAGACAAATAATATAAGTCCATGTATCACAACTAGTGTGAAAATCATATGTTTCGATAACTACACTGTCTCCTTTCATCTGATTATTCCTACGTTTACATGGTAGGAAATGGTTATGAATCTTTAGGACTTTTCGGCTGTACTTTTATTCTATGTTCACCAAGGTTGAAGACAGTGTGGCAAAATGGTGATAAGATTATGGCCAAAACGTGTTAATTTCGGTGATTAATAGACTCGACTTCACTTTGTTAAATCCTAATACGTTCTTAATCCCTTACATTGAAGTGAATATATATATATCAATACATATGTACTAACACAACATTTACACCAACATTTGTAGTAATTGTATTTTGAATGTTACTACTTCGAACATTGGTGAATATTTCGCATTATTACTGAAAGATTGAGAACATTTCTATGAATTACATATATTTAATCCAAAATATCCAATATTCAACATCATTTATATTTCATTAAAAATAATTATTTGTTCGGGTGGCGAAGTAGTAACCCAGTCGCCTTTCATCTAGCCGTCCGGGGTTCGATTCCCGAAATGGGCGTGAAAAGGTATGGGGTCATTTGCCCGACCACGAGGGCTTTTCCCAGATAATCCGGTCACCTCGCACAGAGAGACCTCGCGTGCGTTTTCAACCAGGCCAAAACATATTTTTCAATTGTTGTGAGATAAATAAAGTTTATTTGTTATTATCCAAAATAAAGTGTAACAAATGACGTTCCTTACCAAAGATCCACGTCAGAAGCATGATTCTTTGCAGATAAAAGAGCCCTATAACGCCGCCTATATGTAGTAGCGTAAACAAAATAATTCCCTTGGCTCTATAGGGCCAGGGGTAGCCAGTTGTTTTATAGTCGCTACCGGCAATTGTCTCAGCTTCGTCTAACCCCATTGCATCATTTTCTTCCATGACGTCACCGCCTTTCTGATGACGTAAGGTTGTTGTCTGACTACGTGAAATAGTCATGATTTATTCTAGAAGAAGGATGAGAAAATAGAGAGAAAATTACTACAAATTAATATTATTGTGTTCATTTAGTGTAATTTTCATCCTCTTATCTGTTTTTATAAAGTTATATAAAATTTTCAGAATCTGAGCTTTGACCAAAGAAATTAAAACATATTCATTTATATTTTCGTTCAACAGAAACGACAAAATCGTCTTAAAAGTCGGCTGCGTATATTCAAAAGTGGGTAGAAGGAGGATTTAGCATTCATTCTCCAAACTATGCTGGTGAAAAAATGTCCCACGTCGACTGCCCAGTCGATGCCATTGATCCACACAAGACCAAATGGTGTCACCCACTTTGGAAACAATTCTTTAAAATATATATAGCTGTCTTTTTAGTCAGAGGATTAAACGGAGTTTTCTAATATTCGTGCCGTAAAAAGACGGTCTGGTTTTATCAATACATATGACTTTTGTTATATAAAGAAGTTTCGAAAGGTCAAGGTCAACGTCAACGTCATTTCTGGAATTATCAAAAGTCACCCAAATGTTTGCTTCCAACGACGGTCTAGCGTTATTCAGGAACGGGGGTGATGTTTATACCGAGAACTGCTGTTCTGAATTCGCAAATGCAAGGATCATCGATATAAATATCAAACGACAGCCTTAAAAAATCAAAACAAAACAATAAGAGAGTAAAGAAAACAAAATCTCTGTTTCTAAATGATTTCTCAAAAAATGAAAACAAATATAATGACGTCATGGTTTCTACCTGTCGTAGTGAAAATCTGTGAATATCAGTATTTCCACTCCACACTACGTACATACAGAATTTTTCGACCAGTAAGATGGAACGGCATATTTCGGGTTTTCAAAGATTGATCTATAAGAACTAGTAGGTACTGCTCTAATTCCAGACCCACCGACTGGAATTTCTTTACCTCCTTAAACATATTAATCCCTCTGAATATTTTTCAAATCTGTTAAACATCTATGAAAGTGAAATCAGACTTAATTTTTGAGAATAAATACAGAAGAACACGGAAGCAGTAAATTACATGTAGGGGGTGGAGTGGGCTTTCTGAACCCAACATTATAATATTTCATTTATGATCTTCAAAAGCATTCAACTACATGTATATAGGTATTTACGATTGAATATTTCTCCACGGTTATGACATTATTTAGTGAAATTCCTAAATCAAAAAAAAAATTATTACGATGCATTTAAACGACTAAGTTATTTTCAGTTATAAATGAAGATAATTTAAGTGTAACTTTCTCACCTGCCTCTTGTCCCTGTCCGGGTATATTGTGCCGTTACAAGGTGTTGTACCTACGTATTAGATAGGACTAGGTAGGACTGAAAGCCATCCATCAACACTGTATATGCCTGCGGGGTCTGACTTGAAAGCCCTTGTGTAAGTCCGTTATGAAATCAAAACTGCGTACCCTGACTCTGGTTTCTCCTCTGATCCTTGCTGTTTCAATAGTTTATTTTTCTTTTTTTCTTTTTTTTTACTCAGGATGCATTATGCATTTTAATTGTTATCAATATTTCATTATTTTTTCCGGAATCAAACCGAGACTAAGTACATAATCGAGTGTTATTGGACTTTTTAACTGATAACTGGCTTATAAACAGCTCTCATCTTTCCGTCGATATTTTAACGATTCTTTAGAAAAAAAACTATGAGTAAATCAGATATGAGGTTTGTAATTATCAAAATGTATCTATAGAATGTTGCTCGTGATCTAAACATACGCAAAACCTGTGAGAAAAGACACAAGTTGACGTCTTCTTAAAGAAGGCAGTCCCTCAAAATTTCGAGCCATTTTGTAACAAAAATTTATATTTTTATGCCAATGTTCATTAAGAATTACAAATGTATGTAGTTTACGACCTATAAAAGCTAGATAAAGCGTGAGGCCACTGAGTCGAGAATCGTGTGACATAGATTCATAAAAGATAGATTAGGTGAAACAGTTGTTGGTCTAGCACAACTATCTTGTATATAAAACAAACTTTCGTCATTACCTAAGCGCTTATATGTCAACTCAAGTAATACGGTTTTAAAGTATATATGATAGTCACGCGACTGTTAATGCTGGCGTGTTAATGGACAAACTGACATATCCGGGTCTGAAACACCTCGGGGTATCTTACATATCAGGAAGTTAGCGCGAAATCATAAATCACGTGACAGCAAGCGTTAGTATATAACCACATCTTTACAGTACACGAAAATGATAAAAAAAAAAAAAGCAGAACAAAACAGTTTTAAAGCGCGGTAAATGACATCCGGGACGTGACCATTACATCATTGCTATTGTAGGCATGGCAACGGCGACGGAGCATCGTCAAAATGGCTGCGCCACTTGTGCGTGTTGGGGGGGGGGGAGTTAAGCTGTCGATCATATTTGTTTGTTTTATTGAAATGAAGTAAATATCGGCATAAGACAATGACCTGAGCAGGAAATGTAAATATAAGAATAGAGCTGTATTGTTCTGGATTTTAAGGTGTTGTAAATGACAAAGGTTTACGTAGTGTACGAGATGGTAAGGAATCGGCTGTACTATAGTCCTATGTACACTACGGCCGAAAATAGTGTGACGAGATGGTAAAAAGATCATAGAACTAAACAATACATGATGATAACAATTGGGCTATTGGACATTACAAACATGGAAGAAAAGTGTTCCGAAATATAGGAAAAGGTCATATTAGCTACAATACACTCTCATAAAATTGAAACAGTGATTTTGGCAATGATGAAAATGAGAATGGGGGCCACGCCCCTGGACAACATAAGAAACAGGACTGTTGGTTATTTCATCATCAGCAATATGATTGAGTAAAATTAGAAGTGCACAGATTAGGATTTCAGCGATAACACTAGGTTTGGTTCCCGTTTTATTTGTGCAATATGTAAATTAACTTTCATAAGTCATGTACTAATTAGTTCTTTAACACAAAAATCAGCAATTAGAAAGTTGTTGTGTACAAAATCGAAGAAAATGGATGTATGAGGGAAAATGTATCTATTCGAGATAATGAAACAACGACAGGAGTTTAAAAAGGTAGCTTTATTTGTAAAATTTTCCACATCTTACTAATAATTTCCCAACGACGAAAAATCATCAGAAAAAATGTTTCATTATTTGGAATATTAAAAAAATAATGCAATGATGGACAGAGATTTAAACAGGATGAAGTTTGAAAACACAGGGAATTTTAAAAATGACAGCGATCGACGTCTTTTCATGGTATCAGCTCAAGGGCATTCATACTTACAAGGAGAGACTTCATCAAGAATGTTTAAAGAAGGAGGGAGGGGGGCACATTTTATTCTATCTTGTATATATACTACCAATTAATGTAACAAATATGTCCATTCTGTAACAGTTCAGAAGTCGAATAAATTCAATATGTCTACAAACAACGTTAAATCAAGGGAGATAACCATACCAGAAAATAACGCAATATCTCTCACCCCGATTCGAGAATAAGACAATGGATATGATTCTTAGTTTGTTGTCTTCCTTCCATAAAGTCCTTATTTTCGAATAATTAAGATAGTTAGATATATCCGTATTTGTCATACCGGTCAAGGGCTATGCATTCTATTATCCGCTTGGATTTATTTCCATTCGAAACGTAATGGTTCCACATATGACAAGGGAGGTAATGCTGTTTAGTCAAAACGGACCCTTTCTTTAGAGAGCTCTACTCGGAAAATAACGGTTTCTGATTTCTCTACTCTTCTATGCAAATGAATGTTTTTACATTTAAAATATACGTAATAATTGCAAATTTATGTGGTGTTCAAGCTTTCTGACTTATTTATTTCTTTAAAGCTCCCAATTACCTTTATGAATGGTCTTACAAAAATTAAACAACTCTTGTGTTACCGTAATAGAAAAAACACGTCCTACCTATTACTAGTCGTGGGATACAACAGAAGACGTTACTCAATGTTTTGTCTTGATTTCCATGAAATTGTCATCGTCATATATTTTTTTTATTATAAAAAACGATCAGGAAATCCGATTAATTTGTTAAAGAAAACAAATATAATCAATAATCAATTAGAACAAATTGGCAATTATAAAGTGAGCTGTCTATAATAAAAATGTACCTATAAATACACGGAGGAGACGAAAACCTCTTATTTTGTCCATAATTCCACAGTCCGTCGACGTAATGACGTCTTGTGTGCGGCAAGCGCTGGGTGTCCTTTCCAACTAAATCGCTGCAATGTTACCCTGAAACGGTTTCGATAATGCCCATGGGGATTCAGAGGCCAAGAATGTCGCCTTTAATCAGGAAAATTTCTGACAAGAAATCCACAATTTCTCACTCATAGTCATATGTAGACAAACGGCTGAAACGCAAATGGGCTTCCTCATCTAGAGTAACGTTGACATCTCTAGGTGTGACCTGCAGTAACAGGCAAAATTAGTCAATAAATCCTACATGACTCTATTATAAGACGTCTATCAAACTTCAATATAACAGTGAACACGTCAGCACCTTGTCGGCATCATCCCTTAAGTAGAGCAGAACTCGCAAATAATTAATTCGTTAAAGCTGAAAAACAAATTCATTTCCATTCATATCATATAAAGTTTTATGAATGTTCAGAAGACACGCAAATGAACAGCACATTTTCATACACAAATAGAGCTTGATGCAAAAAAAACCAAACAATGAATATAACTGCATTATACAACTGTTTCGTCTTTCTAGGATTCCTCGGTGATGCTACATCATACAGCTGATTTAATAAACTCGTCAAGACTTTTTCATTTCATCCCTCCAAAAACTCTGTAAATTCAAAAATTCTAACACACAGAGGAAAAAGTCTGTTGTTTGAATTGCCAAGTAGATAGCCTGCCAGTCAGCATCAGATCCTGTTGTTTGTAGTGCCCAGTAGATAGCCTGTCAATTGATAGCCTCCCAGTCAACATCAGATCCTGTTGTTTGTAGTGTCCAGTAGATAGCCTGTCAGTCAGCATCAGATCCTGTTGTTTGTAGTGTCCAGTAGATAGCTTGTCAGTCAGCATCAGATCCTGTTGTTTGAAGTGCCCAGTAGATAGCCTGTCAGTAGATAGCCTGCCAGTCAGATCCTGTTGTTTGTAGTGCCCAGTAGATAGCCTGTCAGTAGATAGCCTGCCAGTCAGCATCAGATCCTGTTGTTTGTAGTGCCCAGTAGATAGCCTGTCAGTAGATAGCCTGCCAGTCAGCATCAGATCCTGTTGTTTGTAGTGTCAAGTAGATAGCCTGTCAGTCAGCATCAGATCCTGGTGTTTGTAGTGTCCAGTAGATAGCCTGTCAGTAGATAGCCTGCCAGTCAGCATCAGATCCTGTTGTTTGTAGTGTCAAGTAGATAGCCTGTCAGTCGGCATCAGATCCTGTTGTTTGTAGTGCCCAGTAGATAGCTTGTCAGTCAGCATCAGATCCTGTTGTTTGTAGTGCCCAGTAGATAGCCTGTCAGTAGATAGCCTGTCAGTCAGCATCAGATCCTGTTGTTTGTAGTGCCCAGTAGATAGCCTGTCAGTCAGCATCAGATCCTGTTGTTTGTAGTGCCCAGTAGATAGCTTGTCAGTCAGCATCAGATCCTGTTGTTTGTAGTGCCAAGTAGATAGCCTGTCAGTCAGCATCAGATCCTGGTGTTTGTAGTGTCCAGTAGATAGCCTGTCAGTAGATAGCCTGCCAGTCGGCATCAGATCCTGTTGTTTGAAGTGCCCAGTAGATAGCCTGTCAGTCAGCATCAGATCCTGTTGTTTGAAGTGCCCAGTAGATAGCCTGTCAGTCGGCATCAGATTCTGTTGTTTGAAGTGCCCAGTAGATAGCCTGTCAGTCAGCATCAGCTCCTGTTGTTTGTAGTGTCCAGTAGATAGCTTGTCAGTCAGCATCAGATCCTGTTGTTTGTAGTGTCCAGTAGATAGCTTGTCAGTCAGCATCAGATCATGTTGTTTGAAGTGTCCTGTAGATAACCTGTCAGTCGGCATTAGATTTTGTTGTTTGACGTGCCCAGTACATAGCCTGTCAGTCAGCATCAGATCCTGTTGTTTGACGTGCCCAGTAGATAGCCTGTCAGTCGGCATCAGATCCTGTTGTTTGACGTGTCCAGTAGATAGCCTGTCAGTCGGCATCAGATCCTGTTGTTTGTAGTGCCCAGTAGATAGCCTGTCAGTAGATAGCCTGTCAGTCGGCATCAGATTCTGTTGTTTGACGTGCCCAGTAGATAGCCTGTCAGTCAGCATCAGCTCCTGTTGTTTGTAGTGTCAAGTAGATAGCCTGTCAGTAGATAGCCTGTCATTCAGCATCATATCCTGTTGTTTGTAGTGTCCAGTAGATAGCCTGTCAGTCAGCATCAGATCCTGTTGTTTGACGTGCCCAGTAGATAGCCTGTCAGTCGGCATCAGATCCTGTTGTTTGACGTGTCTAGTAGATAGCCTGTCAGTCGGCATCAGATTCTGTTGTTTGACGTGCCCAGTAGATAGCCTGTCAGTCAGCATCAGATCCTGTTGTTTGACGTGCCCAGTAGATAGCCTGTCAGTCGGCATCAGATTCTGTTGTTTGACGTGCCCAGTAGATAGCTTGTCAGTCAGCATCAGATCCTGTTGTTTGACGTGCCCAGTAGATAGCCTGTCAGTCAGCATCAGATCCTGTTGTTTGACGTGTCTAGTAGATAGCCTGTCAGTCGGCATCAGATTCTGTTGTTTGACGTGCCCAGTAGATAGCCTGTCAGTCGGCATCAGATTCTGTTGTTTGACGTGCCCAGTAGATGGCGTATCAGTCGGCATCAAATCCTGTTGTTTGTAGTGTCCACTGTCGATGTAAGTATGTAACCCTGTTTGTCATTATATTTAGACAACAAGGAGATCATTTTCATTGCAATTCGGATTAATATGCAGGTTTGCATCAGATCCTCATGGTGGGCTACAAAAGGAGTCACGGCTGATCAGAAATATTGGAAATTAGTTCCTTTATAGTGAGAGATTTTGCTTTATGCCTATAGGACTGTTCTAAAACATTATTTTTACACCCTACTTTTGGATAATTTTTTCGATAAACACTTTTATCAGTGCTTAAACATTGGTAAACATGTTGGTACAGATTGGATAGGTTATGCTGGTAAAACAACAAAGTATTGTGAACCAAGTAGAGAATGCAATTGTCTGTTGTCGAAATGAATCTTAATTTAGAATAAGTTGAAAGTAACCGTTTTTTTTGTTTTTACTTTGACTTTAAACGTCAGTATTCAGAGACAAATTGGCATGGATTAAAAATCATTAATATTAGAGCATATTATGTAATATATTATAAACACAGTGTCGGTAATTTGAAATGATGAGAGTAGCGTCAGGCTGCTGGCGGTGTGAACTAGATTGTAATGAGGTAGTAATTGTGTATTTCAGATTAGAACAAGGAAAAATGAAGATTAGAATTTCGTGATTATACAAAAATATGCATTTCGTTGACATTTGATTTTATGGATAGAAAGTCACTAGTATTATGATTCATGTTAGTTTTTATCTACCGATCATTTCGTGAATATAAAAATTCGCGAGTAAGTAGTAAGTACGAATTCAATTAAATTAAAACCACCACGAAATTACTTTACTGCAAAGAACTGCAAATGGACGCAGGTTCAGGGATGTTGACGAAATTTTTTTTTTTTTTTTTTAAATGATCGCACAAAATCCGGAACGATTCCAGAATATGCACATGTAATAGTTGGGCAAGAACTCCAGCGAAAGGGAGGAATTCAATCATAGGTTGAAATATCAATGGTCATGAAATAAATAGTCTAACCTGTCATAACGGCCACCTTAGTTAGACGGCCACCTGCTTATAACGGCCGTTTTCAGACCCTCCCAATATGTATTCAAAAGATAAAATATATTACAAACACTTCCTATCAAAGTTTGTTGCCGACGTATTTAGATCAACCAAGTAATATTTCCTCTGAGTCATTTTGTCTATTAATTCCATGTATTACTTTCAAAATAGCGCATGTTCCAAAATTACATATACCAAGATTTATTAGCCTTGCAAAATTTAGTGAAGCTGATAATTATCTGCAGCTGAAATTAACTGTGGTCATTTTTATGCCACCCCTCAACTCGATGCTCGGATTCATTTGCCGGACCATTCCTTCAAGCGAGGACAAAAAACAGCAACCGCTCAATGTGTTAATACGACAGCACAAGGTCACGACCTCAAACCAACAACAGACTCACGTGATTCATCGACACACGTCCAAATGAGGATCATTACATCCGAAAGATTCACGGGGTTACAGATAAAAACTCATAGAATCCTGTTTGATTCTCGGCATCGGGAATGTGGCAGAATTGTTTGTTACCAAGGACAATAACTTTGCTTATGGTGGAGATTTTTATTCTTTTTCTTTTTTCCCTACCTATTTGCAGTTTGCGAAACGTTTTCGCTAGTGAAATGAATGAAAATGCCTACACATGGTCGACTTGGAATCCTCATTATTGTACCTACTGACCTCGTCACATGATTGTAAGAGGTGTCTAAACTAGAGATTTTTTTCTCTTCTCTTCATCCAAGGAAGGTTATGGGTTATGTACCCTGAATATCTATAAAACTAATAGGTGTCGCCCTTTGTTAGAGGTTAGCTGTATTGGAAACAATGACTGGTTCTGTGATCACTGTTTTGCTACCGAATGGCGTGTCAAACTATTGTATCGCTGTCATTTCAATGTGATGGCACTGTACGTGGATCATGTCTTAAAATAAAAATATATAAGAGTAAAAGGATATCAAGTAGGAGAACATAACACTGAAAAGGGCCTCCTGCAGAGGCTCAGTTATTGGGACACGTTATGTAAGGCTTTTACATTGCTAATTGTCCGCCGGCTGGAACGGATCTTATTGTCCACTCGCCGGAAAAATCATGACTGCGCCTTCACAAAAAAGGAAGTAATGTACAGCCTTGGGCGAGATGTCTTCTTTTGGCCGTGTTGCGCGCATTCTGTATGCTTTCTGACTTTGAACAGTCTACAAGAATATTGTTTTATTTTTATATTCACAAAGTAAATGTAACTTATTCATGTCACTTAATGAGAAAATTTGCTGGAAAACATTCAGAGAGGTTTAACCTATGACAAGTTACTACGTAGCTGACAATATGGCGGCAACCTACACCTCTTGAATTGTCTATAGTGTTAGCTCCACATTCAAGACGTTTGGTTAGGTATGAAAGTTAACCATGGAATTGAATGTCGTGTTAAAAGTAAGCAGGTTCCTGGTTTTTGTGATTTTTTGTAACGAGCTTTATAATTTGTCACTTTTACAAGATGATTTGTGTTCTCTCTTTTCATTGGTGTATGTCTGCAAAAGTGTTATTTTTCTAGCCAGAAACCTGAGGACATTGTTTACTAGTAACACGAAATTAAATTCCATGGTAAACACTTTTATCGACGAGAGATTTTTTCATAAATATAATAAAATATTTTCGCAATCCGGAAAAAAAAAACTGCAACTATATGACCTCAATACGAGTCCGTATGTATTTGTGCAGAATCTGCGGTGTACCTTTAGTTTGGGACTCGGCGATAACTTACAGTGACATAACAGTATCTAATTAAGAGATCGAAACAACAACAGAAAATGAGCATGTATAAATTTACTTTATTGATATTCAATTATTTTAATCATTGCACAATTCTGTCCCGCTAAGTTAGGAATTAGCTGCTATGTGTTCCCGTACCCACTGCACATACTTAAATACCCGTGTGTACACACCGGGTTGGTTAGGATCTGAAATAAAAAATGTGAAAATGTTTTTATAAACTCTGGTTCTAGTTGTGGCATCAAAATTCCGCGTTGGTAAGGATCTAAGACACCAAGATATAAAAAATATCTTGTTCCAGTGTGACGTCAAAATATTTAAAAAAAAAAAAAAAAAAAAACAATAATATTGCGTTGTAAATGCAGCAAGTTGAATAATATTATGTTTTAAAAAATAGTTCAGTAGATGAAAAATCACGTGACTTGCCTCCACAACCTATTCCCCAAGAAACGATTCCTTCTAGCTGCCATTGTCCGCCATTATTACATACCAGTGGACCACCACTGTCACCCTGACAACGACAATAACATTGGAATGTCACCAAATCGTGTGAGATACGTCATAAAGATACGACAAAAGAAATCCATTTACGAATGTCACTGATTCAATCTAAACGATCGACATTTCCCGATTTTTTTATTGAAATTTCAATAATTTCATAACTTGTTGTAAATATGACTCAGTGACGTCATTTCGATTTTTTCTGATCGATGCACGTATCTATATATATAATAGTTAAATTACACGACTTATCTACTGGAACTCTTCTATGAAGGAAGTAAGGCTACTGTATATATATATAAAAAAAAATCATGCATATGACGTGTTTTACCTGACACGAGTCGTGCCCGCCTTTGGAGTACCCAGCGCAGATCATTGTATCTAACACTTGACCGTCCAGGTAGCTTGAGCTGTTGCAGGTGTTGATATTGACGATGGGCAAAGCAGCCTGTTTCAAAACATCAGCACAACAGGTTCCTGTAAGGAAATAAGATTCGAGGAAAATCCATTAAAATTTTCCGGAAGAATTAGGTATGGTCAATGTTCATATAATCCACGAACAATTCTTATCATTCCATTGGATAGTTAACGTCACGTGGCATTTTCTATAGTAAGCAGTGTGACGTTATACAAGGCCACTGATGTCATTATAGACTGCATCGCTTATCAACAACCAAAAAGATAAAATTTCATCCCAGTCACGTCAGTTTTATTAAGTCACGTTCACTGAATTTGTACCTAGGGGTATATATTTTTAAAAAAAAATCATGAATATTTCAGATATTGTGTTAACAGTAAAGTTAGATATACTGATGTCTTGACGATTTCTTTACTTTGGTGATTTTGAAAGTAACTTGGATGAAAAAGGAGTTTTAATTAGTAACTGTCGGTTAACTTAAATATAGGGATTCGACAGATTTATACCGGGTTTCTGTTTCACCTCATATTTAACCACTAATCATTTCAAGAACTGTGATCACATTTGCTTTCCGTGGAAGTAAATTCCAAAATATTTATTCCTGTGAGCCCTATGTGCAGGAGACTCCCACATGGTAACAGCGTAGATCAGTCGCCAAGTTCAGGCGTGGAGTTGAACTACTGAAAACGGGAAGAAATGCGAATCTCCTATAATGGACAGGGCCTGCCATGTTTACGACTGGGACCATGTACAGAATGATTTCTATGTTGTTATCCAGTGTCCGTTGTATGACGATATACAAGACCATCTTTTCACAATGCTAATCGTGTTGATGTACATCTTTGATAATTTTAGAAGTTTCGCTTTGTGTTATCAAAATTGTGTTAAACATAGTGCAGAAGCCTTGGACAATATTTTCAATCGCTGGAAGTATTTCTTGTATAGGAAGGCAGCATCACTGGGATGATTTCGTAACGTACTGTTTTATTAAGTAATAAATTTTAAGATTAATTCTAGTCTCTCATAGCTCTAAGAACGGCTTTCGTTTGTCTGTTTTCTGTCATGTTGTATCTCGTTGGTAAAAAATATATGCGAAAAGTGAGACTGTCTGATTAGCTTAAAGAAAATCTTTTCTAAGATATGGATGATACGAGAGGAATGACTTATTTTAGAATAGAAATTTGTGTTAACATACTCTATACTTCTTCTATTGAAAGAATATTTCATTTGGTATGCACCGAACTTTCACGTACAAGACAAAAGTGAATGTTATTGCGACCGAATTCACATCGAGGTCAGTACAAAGATCATGGACCATTTTATGAATGCATTATCCAAAGTTACTATCACGCTTTAAGGAACGTCATCGCCTCATGTAATAAACGACAACAAATTACGTGTAGATCGTCAATAAATTATGTGTAGACCTTCATTATATGATGTGAAGAACGTCACCAAATTATGTAAAAGTCGTCACTAAATCAAGTAGTAAACGTCATGTTCTCACCTAGAACATCACCAAATCCTGTGGTGTAACATTCCTGGTTGTCTCTGACCGGCACGGCCGGCAAACAAGCTACGTTGACATAATCATTGAGGTGAACAGGTGTGGCCAGCTTTAGAAGTGTGATATCATTGCTCGTGGCGTCGGGGTCATAATGTTCATGTACCATGATCTTAGCGATGTCAACAGTGACTTGGTGGGAATCGTGCTGCTTAAGATGGTGTTTTCCCAGTACCAGCTGCCAGTGTCTTGGTGTCCGGTCACTAGTGGTCAGAGAACACAAAAGCACGTGCATATAACTCACTATAATCACCATGACGACAACTGGATCATAACTTGACCTATATTTTGGGTATACATTCATACAACAAGAACGTATACATATATGTGTGTGTGTGTGTGTGCGTGTGTGTGTGTGTGTGTGTGTGTGTGTGTGAGCGTGTGTGTGTGTGTGTCTGTGTGTGTGTGTGTGTGCGTGCGTGCGTGCGTGCGTACGTGCGTTCGTGTGTGCGAAACAATGTCAAGCATGATACATAAACATATTTGCAACATAAACAATATCTTGATTAATATCTAGACAAAAAGGTGGAGTACAAAAATAAGGCAATAACAGCAATGAATACAATGGATAAAAATGATAGGTGGGATTGCGAGGCAAACAAGTTGGAAAGACTGTAAAATCATATATTTCCGAAGGTAGCAATTTCGTGGACACTTTATTTCATGGGAAAATAGAGTTCAATAAATTAACTTATATTCATTTCAAAAGTTTGTGGACAGGTAGATTCCTGGATTAATATTACCCACGATATCTGCGAAAATAAGTCACCCGCGAAAAGTAATTATTTAGTATTAAATCACACTTACTCCTCAAAACAATGGGCCGCTGTGATGGCGAAATTCGGACTAATTAAAGTGGCTCCACAAAGATGCTCATGGAAGGATCCGAAAGTCAGCGATCCTTGCCAAGGCCAGCTGTTTGGGGTAGCTTCCTTTCCTCCAACGATTTTGTTGTTTCCTAGTGATGGCGTAATGGCAGGTCTTCCGCATGTAGTACTACTAGCTAGAATTCCAATATGTTGAGACTTCATATTGAGACAATAGAACTTAAAAAAAAGATGTTTGCGGAATAATCACGCACAGTTTAGCACTTGCGTCTAAAAGCTATTTTATGGAATTTTTTTAGCGTCGTTTGCCCTTGCTACGCTGTGTTATCGAAGTCAATAACGTATTACTAGCTCATAAATCACAAACGGCGTAGGGATATTGTAATTAATGTAAACATATTAAAGTTATCTCGCCTTATAACATAACCAATAAATTGTTTATGGATGGCATCTCCGTACATTATCCATAACAATTGGACACATAACGCAGCAGGCGTTCATATCTTCCATAAATGCCAACTGAAAGCGTTTGTACAGAATGACATCCAATAAAGTATTATCTCGTAGAAATGGGATCCCGACATTGCTTCGAAACTACCAACAGTTAAATATCTTTCGATAGGTCTGATGATCAACATTAACACGAAAGGACTTAATGAAATACCGGAGGATCTGTTGATTAATGCTTTGGTTTCCCATCTTACAAAAAAAATCATGCAAAACACGACTGGTTCAAAACATCAGACACGCAAAACACGGCTGGTTCAAACATAACGCAAGCAAATTACGACTGGTTCAAACATCCAGCACGCAAAACACGACTGTTTCATACATTACACATTCAAAAAACGATTGGTTCAAATATCACACACGCAAAACACAACTGGTTCAAAACATCAGACACGCAAAACATGACTGTTTCATACATCACACACACAAAACACGACTGGTTCAAAACATCGCACACGCAAAACACGACTGGTTCAAAACATCACACACGCAAAACACGACTAGTTCAAAATATCAGACACGCAAAACACGACTGTTTCATACATCACACACGCAAAACACAACTGGTTCAAAACATCAGACACGCAAAACATGACTGTTTCATACATCGCACACACAAAACACGACTGGTTCAAAACATCGCACACGCAAAACACGACTGGTTCAAACATAACGCAAGCAAATTACGACTGGTTTAAACATCAAGCACGCAAAACGCGACTGCTTCATACATCACACACGCAATTTACCAAAAACGTATTCAGACTTACAACATACTGTTTTAGTCATTACCCATGAACATGTGTAAAATTATCACAAAAGTGTCTGCTTTACCACAAACGTTTATGGTTTACCTCAAACATATTTAGACTTACCACAAACTGATTTTGATATTACTCAAAAACTTTTTTTTAGATATTACCCAAAAACTTTTGCAAAATTATCACAAAAACGTACAAAATGTACCATACATGTAACGTAACAAAGACATTTCCACAGGCCTGTTTTTACTTTAAAATCAATAAAAGCGTTAAAAGTTACCTCAAACCTGTTTGACTTAACACCGGCACAGACTTGCCCGACAAACGTGCTTTCACTTACCACAAAGGTTTTCGTCACTTCCATCTGTGCAATCGTCGTGCTTGTCACAAACGGCACTTTGGCTTATGCACTTTCCGTTGGAGCAGGTGAACTGTGTGGGCGAGCATGTGGCTTCAGAAAAAGATAAACCCGTATTATTTAGATATATAAAAATCTTCACACACTTCTTTCATTCACAAACGTGGTCACATGAACAAGTAACATTTCATTTCATCTACACTCTCACCCAGTTCCAACCCTTTTTTGTACAAGTGTCTCTCGATATATTGTCAGAGCCTTTTATAACATATCAACACAGAATGATTGTCAGTGTAACGAAATATACTTACGCACGGGATCATGAATGGTGTATGTAATGTTGAAACCAGCAGCTCCCTCGCTGTCATCTGTGTGAAACCGGATGTACAATTGGTTTCCGGCGGAAGTGATCTTACTTGGATATGTAATTCCACAATAAGTTCCCATTAGTTGCGCATGCGCCGAAGAGCCTTCATATAGTTTCAGATAGTCATAATGACAATTGGTGTCCTTCTCCAAGTCGAAATCCTGATTAACAGGAAAAGAGGAACGAAAACACAATTTAAGTTTCAACATTTGATCTTGGTTACTATAAACAATAAATCAAATATGACGTAAGTTATATTTATCTACAGATATGCTTGAAAGAATATGATACAAAATAACATCAAGCGGAGAACAATATTCCATATTAAGATCACTTATTAACGAATTCGTAAGATATACCCGAGAAGTAGATTGAACCAATCAAGTAAACCGTATTTACTATGGTACAGTTTAACCAATAGAAAAATCATCTTTTTATGTCTATCTGCCTGACGTGAAAACAATACTGAACTTAAGTCATTGAGTCGATATGAATCGCTTGTATTCGTAGAAGCTGATAATATACATCATTACTTTGTTGTTATTTTGATGTCTATTGAATAATTCTGTAACTTTTTATGTAAGTCGTGGATTCTGGATTCTACAGATATCTAACAAAGATTCAACAATCGGTGAAACTGATTCATTCTCCCCGAAAACGACTTTCATGTGACACAAAATTTAATCAAAGGCCGGTAATTCTGTAATTAAGAAGTTGCAGGGTCTGAATTTGGTATATTGTGCATTCTCTTAGTATGACCAACGTATACACCAAGGTACAATAACTCCTAAATTATGCAAAAGAGAGTTATGGTTCCTGTACTCAACCTTATGGCTCTCCTTGTCGAGATCTATCTACCTATGAAACAGATATCTTGATGCCTCATAAAGTTTTTGTGATATGCTCCGGAAAAAATTATGACGGACGGATGGACAGATAAAGCGTCGCTTATATGCGCTCCCTTCTTGATAATGAGTATTCATTTCATACTTTCGTAAAAAGCCTAACATTATCAAATAGTGTTTAAGATCGGTTTTATATGATGATAACACTGCTTGCTTGCAGATAGAAAAATATTCCTTTCAAGATTACAGTTCAAAAGTGATATAAAAGTGAGTTATGCGTCAAACGAGTCTTGGTGTTTTCGCCATTGAATATCAATCGGATATCGTCGGCACGGGAAAATTCGCTTGTTTACGGAAAGTGCCGACGGTTCCCGATTGCATATCAAGCGGAAATCAATCATGTATCACATACATTAAAGGTAAGGGTGATGACTTTGCCAGGCGGTGCATTAATGCCCCAACGACAGTTCAAGTTATCAGGGTAACGGTGGCCTTCTGCACGCCCCTCCGAAAGAATCACACCGGAAGTGCTGTTAAGCGTCGGCGCAGTCAAGCCATGACATGCCGCGTCAGTCAACTGCGTTACCGGAGACGCTAATAAAAAATATAATGTACGTGTGATTTTTTTTTAAATTCTGAGTTTAACTCTTTATCAACATAAAATAAAATAAATCAAATATAACATTAATGAAAATACTGGAGTAATTAGACGTCTAAGACAGATGACTTCATTTTACCATACACTTATTCATAGCGTGTTAAAAAATAAAAAAAAACAATCAAATTAAAATCGGCTCAGACGTGATTTTTTTCAATTTGTGCATATACAAATATCCGCGTAAATATAAAAAGTGCATTTAAATAATCATTTCATTGTTTGGTTTTCAATAGATTACATAGACATGTTTAGATTTATAATTCTATGATACAATAACATTCTGCTGAAATAGCAATGTCACCATGAGGAAGCAAATAGCAAAGCCATACTGAATTAGAATATATTTTAAAAGAGAAAAGTCATAAGGAAGTATGCACCGTTAAAACAATATTATGAAAAAATAGCACACGCCCTGAAATAGCAATGTTATAATATCGTAGCATACACCCTTAAAGAATAATTTTATAAAAATGTAGCAATCACTCATAAAATAGTATTGTTATAAAAATGTAGCAAACATTCTTTGGTAGAATACCCCCTTAAATATCACTGTTATAAGGATGTAGAATAAACCCTTAAATAGCACTTGTAAAAATGTAGCATATCCCCTTAGGCAGAATACCTCCATAAATAGCAATGTTATGACAAGATAGCATACAACTTTAAACAGCATTATCATAAAAATGTAGCATACACCCTTAAATACCAAGTTGATAAACTAACACACAGTCTTACACAAATGTCACACTATGACGTACCTTGTACTTTTTCCATGGTATAAGTGGCGTTAAAACCTATATCCTGGGTATCACCGTCAGAATTAAAGCTAACAAACACGACATTTGTCTTGGAGAGAACATCTCTTGGTATGTGATTTCCACACAAATTTGCTAGCTCGGTTCCTGAAGATGATGAACCATCAAAAATATGGACGGCGTCAAACGGGCATGAACGCCCTCCTTCAAGTCCAAAACTATTAAAGTGGAGTCGGATTACATTTCCGGATGGTGCAAACAGTCTCCAGATACAGTGACTGTCTGCCGGATAGTTACTATGGAGTCCAAATCCCGGACTTGTGATCACTCCCTGGGAGTTAAAGTGGATATCCCTTGTACATGAGCTCGCAGATCCTGGTCGTACAGTGGTGACGGAGGATACAGCTAAACAAACAAATATTATTGAGATAAAAAAAAAAGAAACACGCGTGTATCATTCCGCCCTTCGAGTTTTATTTGAATTGAAGGGGAGCTTATCAATAGATGAGTAGCAATACCGAGTTTTGAATATAGAGGTGTTGGTATTATAATGAGAGTCGGGATGTAGAAAAATTTCCATTTACCGTTTGTGAATTTAGAAGCTGAACTATGCTGTAAGTGGATTCAGATTTGGTGGGTTCCAACCAAAGCAATGAAGATTTGATTCAATCTTTAACATTTTCAAGACTTTTTGGTGAAACAAGCGCGCTTCTATAAGACATGACTGTCCAAGCTCCTGTACAAACCAGGTCAGATGAAGAGCAAAAATAATGTTACATGCTAAGAAGAATTTTCAAGATATGACATTGATTCGGAAAGGGACGTGACTCGATGGGAAGGGAAGGAAAATACATTGTGACAATATATGACCCTCAAAAGCGGCACGAGCATCACAAAAACGTATATCACCACTTACCGTCAACTGCTGACCAGTTGATTTGAAATCCTGTGTATTGGTCACTAGAGTCTGACGTAAACACAACTACGGCATGGTTGCTATCGACAACGACTGGTGCTGGCGCTGAATTTCCACAATATTGCCCTGGAGAATATATATACATAGTTTCATCAATGTTCAAAAGGTTTTGTGCGTTCAGTATTATAAACGGTATTTACAGTGCATAGTCACAGAGAGAACACAATTGAAAACTAAATTCTTGACCAGTGTGACGTCATCACTAAGTGATATACTGACCTATGACTGTGAGTGAACCTCCATTATATACCGTCACTTTATCATAGGTACATCCAGTGGTTGGTTCCACCTTAAAATTGCTGTTGAACGTCAGCTGAATGAACTGTTGCGGAAAAATAAACGTAAAGTGAATTAAGAAATTTTCAGTAACAAACAAGCAATTTGAAAGGAACCATGCATGTTACTTCCGATATAACGAATTTATAGTATTTGAGTTAGGAAACCACTTACAGTTTCTGGGAACGGAAAGTTCAACGAGTAGGAGGAGAAGGGGGAGGAGGAGAAGGAAAGTTACCTTTCCGGCTGGAACGTTGATTACCCAGCGACATGACATACTAGGCGAGTAATCATTAGGGTAATTCTTGCTGCTGAAACTACCGGAAGTACCATTGTTGTCCGCCTTGTTGCCACAGCCGGAATCACCTACAGGTGTAAAAACACCGGAACCAGATGTTGGTGACGTGGTCACTCCACAATTTCTTTCATCAGAATTATCGCCACAGTCGTTGTCGCCATCACATTTCCAAGAATTCGGGATACAAGAGTGATCGGGACAGGCGAACTCATCAGAGTCGCAATTCGCTTGAAATGAGAAAATTATTCCATTATCAAGAAACTGCAAAAATGAATCAAAACAGAAGGAATATATATGTTCTTCGTTTTTCTCGCATCTTCATCTCCTAAAGATAAATCAACATCATGTGATATATATATCATAAATGAGTTTGAAGAAAATGACATTATCAATTTTTCGAACTCAAAATTTTATTACTAAAGATTAGAGTAAAGATGGTCGAGTGGTCACTGATAAGGTTATGGTAAGCATTACAACGTGAAAATTTGTCCGACAAGGTAAAATAAATTCTGTTAAAGTCATTTAAGTAATGCATAACAAAGCATTAGTATAAGGTATGCTAATTTATTAGCAATTTCATTGGTTCCAGGAGAGAAAAAAACTGACCAATCACAGGCTGATACACTCCGTTTGAAGAATGCAAAGGAGCGACACCTAACTTTGAAGCCAGTAAATTATATCGTTATGCAAACTCGTGATTCGTTTGAGATAAGTCAAATGATCAAACTGTTGTTTTTTTTTTTTTTGTTTTTTTGTTTGTTTTTTTGTCTTGTCTTCAAGGTGTTGCACATGGAACCTTCAATTTTTTCATGACATGTTCCAGGTGGGCAGAGAACGAAAATGATTGTAACTCATGGAATATCGAGGATGACAACACGCAGGCAAGCACACACAAATATAACTTGGTATTAAAGAGGTAAGTACCTGCCCCAGAGCTAGAACAGGAAGCTTCGTCACTGTGATCCCCGCAGTCGTTATCACCGTCACAGAGGTAACTATGAGGTATACATTGGTGGTTAGGACACATGTGGTCTGTTCCTCCACAGGAAGCTATCGTAGAATGAAAATTCACAGATATATCATTTTAGGTATATCAATTCAGACCAGATTCTTGTTGTGACTCTGCTTTTTTCTATTACATTTTTTGGGGGGGTTGGGGGGTTGGGGGTATGGGCGGGGAATAAGAGGGGTTGTAAGGGTTTAAGGTTATCGCTATTCTGCTATTTATAAACACCCCATGCTGACATGAAACACATAAAACCTATATAATATCAAGATTGTTTGTAAAATCATTTTGATGTGATGTCATTGAAGAAATAAATCACTAATCGCTTGATCAATAGATACAAATTAATCTTCTTAATTCTATCAGATTATAAAGCGTCATGATACCACGACCGCTACATTCTATATCTATCTTTACTTATTTGGTTTAAATTTACATGTTGCCGAACTTTTAGACAGTGTGTGATATATATATATATATATATATATATATATATTTGTTTATTTATTTATTTACAATGTGTTTCTACTACAGTGGCAATATAGATTATAGGTGAAGTAGATTTATCACCGTTAAGTCTTGTACGAGATAAATGAAAGGGAGGCGAATTAGAGAGATATCGAGGTTTATAGCAAATCTCTTGTGTAGATGTATAGAACTCACAGGTGGACTGAATAAATCTGTAGTTCAGCTGGAATCCAGCATAGCTGACACTGTCGTCCGAGATGAATTCGAGAAACAGATGTGTCCCCGACGATACCACGCTAATTGATTGTGTACCACAAAATTTTCCGATCAGCTTGGCCCGGGACGATGTACCATCGTACACCGCCAGAAAATCATAGCTACATCTAAAGGTATAAAAATGGAGTTAAATATTGAGTTCGAATGCCATGTTATTTGAGTGGAAACGCAATGTGCATGAACATAATATCATTTTACAGGAATAAAATATCGTTGCTGTTGTGAGGGAACGAAATTTTCTTGTGTACAAAAGAAATGATATTACGAGAGAAGAAAAATATGATATTATGATATAAGTATTTATGTGTCAGTATGTTTTATGTTTTAGTAATCATTATATTGTATGAAAAGGAAAGAAAATAAGTAAATATTCTGTCCTTCTTCACTGTCGTTCCCCTGTGTTTAATACCAGTCGCGGAATGGGAGTTGAAAATGGGATGAAACAGACTAATGATGCAGTGTAACTATTTTAACATATCATTAGTATTGGAAGACAGTGAGATTTGTCTTTTTACAGGTTTCTCCCAAATTATGAATATTGCAAAGGTCCCCCACCCCCCGACGAAATTGTGGGATATCGGCACCTCCGTTTTTACTTGTCAAAGCGGGATAACTCTTAAACATTTCTCCTTTAGCAATGACAGTTAAATTGTAAACTTCTAGAACTCGTCAGTGATGACAGGGGTCTATCTATAGATCGATAAACAACCTGATTAACAAACAAGAGTTTACACACTAATTGTCAATATTTACTGAAAATGAAATAAATTTTCTATAGTATGAGGTGACGGTTGGTTTTCTTTTCTGCAATTGTATTTAGAATGTTGAGATTGACTCAAAAAGGCTTGTAGTACTACTTTCCGTTGCAAACTATTTATCAAGTGCCATGGAATTTTTGAGCATATGACACTGCTCTCTTTACGTGAAACATGCTTAGATGAGATGCTGTATTTTGTAGTTTTGTCGGAGTTGAGCAACAGTGCATACATGGCCCGTTCCTCCTCGCCCCGTTTTTTTTTTTTTTTTTATCAAAATTGATCTTAAACAGATCTTTTCCATCCGTAAAAGGCGGCTAGACTCATGTGTTTAAAAAAGCCTACTTACTGATTGTCAGCTTCTAAGTGGAAATGTGTCGAGGTCAGTCTGATGACCTTGCCAGTAGGAGCATTGATCCTCCACGTGCAGTCTTTATTGTTTCCATATTCGGAGCTTGACGATCCATACCCGCTCTGAGAGAGGATACGACCGTAATTACTGTTGAGGTAGGACGGACTACCGCATCCGGAATGGCCGTAATCTAAAACAATAGATCGCTGATTAAATTGTATCTATGTTAATTCTAAATTCATAAAAAAAACGTATTTTAATTAATTGTTCATGACATAAGAATTATCAATACCGGGATCAAAGATGTTAGATATTTTTGATGTCTTAGCGAAAACAAATCAATGAATTCTTGTGATTCTGGACTGCAAGTTACTCATTTTGAGTCATCGTTTAAGATTTTGTTAGAAAGAAACATAAACCCTGTCAGTCGAGGTACATCCTCGATACTTCAACGGTTACAATACTTTCGCTTCCTGCACCCCTGCACAAGCGAAGTAAGTTCATTGGTTCCAGTAAAAAAGACCTGACCAATCACAGGCTGAACGCTCCTTTTGAAGATAACAAAGGAGCGACACCAATCCAAAGCCATTACGATATACCATTATGCGACCTCGAGACTCGTTTGATGTACATCAAGGGGTCAAACTAATCTTTTTAGTCTAGTCCATAAGGTGTCGTACGTGGAACTGTCAGCTTTGCCAAAATAACGCAGAGAGCGAAAGTGATCGTAACCCCAGAGGTATAGAGGATGATTGAGGTAATGTTACGTTCTCAAAATGAGAACAAGTTTCAGGGAACCACTAGAAAATCAGATCATTGTGAAATATAAGCATATAACGAACAGCGGATACGTGTACAAATCCGGTCGTTTTTCCTATTGTGGAAACGTACTATGAATGGCGACAAGTTAAATACAGATGTATCATTGCATGTTCCTTAAATCAAGAACATTTGAATTACACATTCAAAGATATAAATGATGATTGACAGATAAGTAGTAGGCTGTTTAGTATTGAATAATGATAATTATGAAAACAAAATCATTGTAAATAAATGATGATAATAAAAGTCGCCATATACCATTATATTAGAATATTCCATACCTGCGTTTACGGCACAAACGAAGAATAAGGTCAATGTGACACCATACAATCGTCTTGTCTTCATTGTTCAGTAAGTCAGTGTCGAAAGAAAGAGGTCCACAGATGGTACTTTCATGTAGATAAGGCATTTCTTATCACAGGTCCAATATTTATATGTATGTAACTTGTTAGCGTGAAGGTTTGCGAAGAGGATGGGAGTTCCGAATGGAAAATCCAGAAATTCTCATGGCTAGATAAAAATTCATATCTGAACCACACCAAACCCTACATCTGAGGTGACAGATGTCGCTGACGTAGATACACGATGTGCAATAATGCCATGTTGCGGTCAAACAAAGGATTTCGCAATAGAATAATTCCGTTACTGTTAGTCCCAATCTGACAGGAGGAGAAAGATTCGTCATATGGTTCGATTCCCATAGTCAGTTAACCTGTTAAGTGCATTAAAAGTGAAAATTTAGAATATCTCGTAACATTCAAAATATGACCCTTATGACCCGTGTACATGTTGACATTTTTTTTTCTAAATGCCCTATATAGTTCCTGAGACTCCTACTGTACTGAAATTTACTTGTACAGGATAAGTATTAAAATTAAAATATTTTTCAAAGCAATCGTCTCTTAAGCTGGTAAGTTCCTGACAATTGATCCTTTTACACGGGTTTGAAACTGTATCATTGGAAACCGAAATGTTTGATTTTTTAAAAATCTGCTTCCAATGAAAAGGGACCGTGCCCGCGGTATTAGCAGAATATGTTTCTCATAGATATCTTTCGCTGGTCTAGCACTCCTTCTTCTAATCAACATTATCAACGAAACTGCCATTGATTAATCAACAGTAAGAAATGCAGAGTTGTACCATCACATATCATTTTATGATGTCCTCCGTTCGGACATCTCGTATATTAAACAAAGGTCCATTCGGAGTCACATCCATTTCTTGTGAACGCAACTCCTCCTAAACTGTTTATAAGATTTACATGGAATTTGCTCAATGTCACTACTACAATGGGTAGATGTGCATGTAGGGGCGATTTTTTGGTTTGTTGATTTTTGTATGATTTATGCCATTTTCAACTTTGTATCTGTAGCTTGTTCTTAGTGGAGCTTTGTGAACGCAACTCCTCCGAAACTAATCATCAGATTTTCATGAAACTTGCTCAATGTCACTAATTCAATGGTTCGATGTGCATGAAGGGGCGATTTTACGGTTCATTGATTTTTGTAAGATTTATATATTTTGTGGAGGCGTATATTGTGTCCACAGCACTCTTGTTTAAAAAGCTATCAAGTACTTTCTGAAAAATAACGAAAGGCAAAATTTGAAATGTCAAAATCCAAGATGATGACTTGTCGGCCATTTTATGTAACGAAATAACATGGGAAGCCGTTAAACGCTAATGAAAACTGACGGTAAACAAGTGGCCCAATGGGCCTTGAATCGCTCACTCGGTATTCAACACTTTTAAAAGCAAGTTTACATTTTTGATGTTTTCATTCAAAACTTAAAACTGTCCAATGAAACACCATTTCCTTACCGTTTTATAATTTATGATACGAAAAAGACATCTCCTAAATCATATATTTAGCTGTTTAATGACATATGCGACTGTATATTGGATTGATACTTATAAACAAACATTAGCTGATTCTATACGTGCTGACAATGAAATAGAGATTTACGGATAACAGACCAGTGACCATGAGAATACGTTGATTTCAGAAAATGGCGCATCAAACATGTGGAAGTCTAAACGTTGTTCATGTAAATAAACTGTGTTTTCGCCTTTTCATAAAAAAAAAACAGTAAGGAAAAATACCGACATTTCAACAGAATCTATTCATTCAAACTCGCATTCATTGTCACAAGGGCAAAAGATGAACACAAAGGTAAGGAGAATAAGACCAGGTGTTCCGAAAGAGTACGCGACTTCTGTTTCTTCGATGACGCCCTCCATATAAATTTTAGCCAATCCAAGTAGGTAATGTTCATGTTCTCAGATGATAACGAGGTAAAAACCGACGGAACCACCAGGCTTGAAACACGTACGGGTTCATATCACACACATAAATAAATCATTTTCCAGTGAGATCGTTATGACAAAAACCGTTTATAAACAAGCCTTCTTTACACATTATAATATCAGCCAATTGTCAAATGATCAATGTACTTTACTCGTTAATCAGGAGAACCCGGCACTTTAAGTAACATGGAGTCTGTAGAACGAATAATTCATCTTGTACGTTAAGATTATATGGATTGATGAAGACTTGAAGATTTTATTACCAAATGAGTATGTTGTAAGTCAAAATCCGCGATTTAAAAACAGCTGTCAATGCGTCAAAAGTCCGCACTGTGTTAAACGTTCAAACTGTCCAAGGTTGATCACATATGCAGTTGGTTTGTGTTGTTTTCTTTTTTGATTGCGTTGATTTTTACTCACGATAGGATAGATCGATCGGTGTAATTTATGAAACTTTTGAATTTTGAAATTAATTAACAACGAGAAACTGACATTAATGCTTTTTTTGCATTCTTATGAGAATTTCCACATTTGTGCGTTAACAAATTTGATCCCTTGTCACCTGGAATAGGGATTTTTTTCTTATTTGTTTGTTTGTTTTTTCACAAACTTGGATGGACTTCAGAAAAAACTCTTTCGTATAGTAAGAAGTTGACTGCGTGGTTTATATATATATGAAATATATATATATATCAATGTCATTTCTTTATCTGTACATTCTAACATGATTCTACTGAGTCTTCTGGCCAATCAGAAATCGTTTGACTGTTTTAACCCCTGACCTTGAGAAAAAGTCATGTGGACAAGATAAATCAGACGGATTTTGTTGCTCTCAACAACAAGCTCTCTTTAAGTTCCACATACTTGTCCTTTTTCTTTGTCACTTGATCACCATGTACCGCTCACCTGGTTTAGTTAGACGAAATTCCTTCTTTTTATCCAAATCAATAGTGTTCACATTATACCTCCTAAAAGACCTACCGTTTATTATAAAATTGATTCTCTTCATCTAAACATGTTTCAGAACATACTGAACAGAATCCAGGCACTTATAGAAAATAATGGATTCAAAAAGATTTGCTCCATTTTCCTTATTTTACACCGCCCCTTCAAGCCCAGGGATATGATTTTGGCAACATTCGTTCAGTGCTACAGGAGGAGGAGTATTTTAACGACTTTATCGAAAGAATTTAGCCTTTTGGGCCATATCCCTAATGATGACCTTAGGGACTGTGACCCACAATTTGAACACACAAGAGGCCCATGGGGACTACATCGCTCACCAGTCTTATTCAGCTATTTAATCATTTAACAAAGAATTTCAAATATGACAAATGATTTTTGAAAAAAATCTCTATTTGGTCACCGCCTTTTGGTCAAAAAGAAGTCAGAATGACTATTCATTGAAATTGTTTTAGACCAAACTTGGGCAATTTCCTTGTGCGGAAGAAGAATGGTTAAGAACTTTTCTCCAATTGGGTCCAACACCTCCCGCCCCAGAGGGGGCTGGGATCCAATTTTTATATCAAATGTATTCCCCTTCACCTAAAAATGCCTCAGACCAAATTTGGGCAAAATCCAATCATTCCTACAGAAGGATTTCCATTTTAAATTATTTACTCTATTTCCCATACTGAGCCCCGCCTCTTCCGCCCAAAGGGGGCCCCGAGACATAATGTCTCCACATGATTCGTTAACCTTCATCTAAGAATTCTTCAGATCAAATGTTGGAAAAATCCATTCATTCCTACCGGAGGAATAGCGTTTAAAATAACTTACTTTATTTCCCCTTTTAGGTCCTGCCCCTCTTGCCCCAGGGGGTCAAGGCCTAATATTTATACAAACTTGATTTCTCTTCAGACAAAATTTTCGGACAATGTGATATGAAAGTATGGGAAATGTGGGACCATTTGGTCATTTACAGTGTTGGTAAAGCAACTTAAAACCCTTCCATTCATGAAGAGTATTAAACTCTACCCCATTTGAGAAATGAGAGAAAGATTAAGTAAATTCAGTCAATATGTGTATGACAAAACAACTGCCATCCTATACTAACAATTCTAACCAAGTTCGATCTACTTACAATATAAAATAAATAAATTTTGCTCCAAAATGTAATTTTCCAAGTTAAACTTTACCCCCTTCATGAAGGGAAAATGCAAGACCATAGTGTCATGAAATTTTGATAAAGCACCTTTTGACCCTTCCATTCAGAAAGAATTTAATTTTACCATATGAGGGTGAGTCAATACGAGAGCAGGGTTTTAAAGAACTTGCAAAATATCCCCTTTTGGTCCCGCCCCACTAATAATAATTGAATAAAAACACTTTATATTAACACTAACGATATATTTTATTTACACGGTTATAAGTATACAAATTATGCTCAAAAAAAGTCATTTTCCTGTATAAACTTTACCCCCTCCCAAAGTGGAAATGTAAGACCCTCTGGTCATGAAATTCCCAATTTTAGTAAATTCGACATCACGGTAAAATCATTTTTATTGCGTATATATACCAAGGGTATCACCATATGAACGATGACAGTTGGTTTTCACTGAAATATTCACATGAAGAGGTTAATCAATAATTATAAAAAGGAAATCCTTATCTGTTGATTAACACTCTGGATATGTTAATTTTTGCATCATATATGATAAGGCATGTGCACAACACACTATCACATGTAAACAACGAGAGGCCCACGGACCTTAACGGTCATCTGACGATATAAACCCTATTTTAAGGAGGCCAAATTGGCCTTAATTGTTCAACTACTGTACAGCTATCAAAACATTTTTGCAGACTATTCTCCATAAATTCAACTACACAAATACCATGACTCCAGACCTATTACTTGTCGAAAGAAGACATTTGAAGATCTTAACGTATTTGACCTTAGAGACCTTGAAAGCAGGTCAAAGCCAATCACCTGAATAAAATCGAAGACCTTCATCCAATTATGTTACAGAACCAATATCAACAGCCTGGACCTTTTGGTTATTAAGAAGTCATTTTAGATTTCAGCATATTTTAGCCTATGGCCTTGAAGGAGGGTCAAGGTCAACCATATGAACGGTTTTGGTAGTCCTTTATCCATGCATGCTGCAGGTCCAATATCACAACGTTTGGTCTTTTGGTTATTGAGAAGTATTTTCAGTTTCAACACATCTGACTCATATAACCTTGAAAGTGGGCTAAGGACATTCATTTGAAAAAAAACTTGATAGCCCTTCATCCATGCATGCTACAGACCCAAATGAGAACCATTGGCCTTTTATTTATTGAGAAATTGTTAAAAGATTTCAATACATTTGATCCCTGTGTCCATGGAAGTAGGTCAAGGTCAATTTGAAGAAATTTGGTAACCCATGATCCCAGCATGCTATAGGCCAAATATTAGCACCCCGGTCCTTTTGGTAATTGTGAAGTTGTTTAAAAATTTCAACATATTTTACCCCTGTGACCTTGAAAAATGGTCACGGTCATTCATTTCAATAATTTGGTAGCCCTTCATCCCAACACGCTACAGGCCCAATAACACTCTTGGCCTATTTGTTAATGAGAAAAAAGTAAATGGGATGGAAAGTTCGCGCACGGCACACGACGTCGGACGAAACACGATGGCTATGTCACCTGATCCAATTGGTCAGATGACAAAACAAGAGATCCGAGAGAGATCTTGGTCCATGGTCCACCATTGTTTAATCCTGATTTGCTCTTTGACAGCTGGATATTTTCCGTTCTTTACTCTTAACGATAAGAAATTTGACAATCCTTTGCAGAAATAAACTGCAAAATCCAAAGATTGTCATCTGAAAGCAATTTTCCTTTTTCCTGTTAAGTCCCAAAATCACACGGGCACAACTAAGACCAAGGGGAACCTACACATGAAATTTGAGAAAGAGCTTTGCAGTAGTTTTCAAGAAATAGCGATAACAAACTTTAAAAGTCAAAATCAAAGATGGCCGCCATTCGATCATTTTATTTTTCTGGTCACACCAAAAATCAAAATGGAACAACCAGGGACCAAGAGGAAGATACACAAGAAATTTGAGAAAGATATATACATTAGTTCTTCAGAAAAAAGCATTAACAAACTTTCAAAGTCAAAATTCAAGAAGGCCGCCTGTCAACCACTTCCAAAAGTGAACGGGCAAAACTAGACATCAAGGGAAACCATACAGGAAATTTGAGAAAGATATATACAGTAGTCCTTAAGAAATAGCAATAGCAACCTTTACTAGGCTAAATCCAAGATAGCCGCCTTTCAACCAGTTTTTTAGGGCCACACCTAAAATCAAACGGAAATAACCAGGGACCAAGGGAAACCTACTTAGGAAATTTGAGAAAGATCCATCCTGTACTTTTCAAGAAATAGTGATAACAAAGTTTTTAAGGACAGACAAATGGACCATGAACATTGGGCAATTGGAAAAGCCCTCCATCTGATGATTTTGGCCCCGTTTTCCAGGCCCTTAGGATGTGGATACTATGTTATTTACACTTCTGGTTAACATTTGGCCATGGTAGTATTTTGCTAAGTTTCATTGAATTCTGTTCGTGGGTTTCCCATAAGAAGTCAAAAATGTAAAAAGTTTAATGACGCATGACTGGGCAAAAGGGTATCGCAAAAGGTCACCTCGAGTCTTTTGTCTTTGGTGATCTAGAAAGGACAACAGATAGCAATGACAACAAGAGGCCCATGGGCCTTAACGGTCATCTGACAAAAAGCAAGCCAAACCTAGAAAGTGGGTTGAGGTCATTCATTTGAACAAACTTGGTAGCCTCTCCTCCAAGCATCTTACAGGCCCAATATCAGCACTCATGGACTTTTGCTTGTTGAGAAGAAGTCGTTTGTATATCTTAACATATTTGACCCCTGTGACCTTGAAAGTGGGTTGAGGTCATTCATTTGAATAAACTTGGTAGCCTTTCCTCCCAGCATGCTACAGACCCAATATCGGCACTCATAGACTTTTGCTTATTGAGATGAAGTCCTTTGTATATTTTAACATATTTGACCCCTGTGACCTTGAAAGTGGGCCAAGGTCATTCATTTGAACAAACTTTGTAGGGCTCCATGCCAGCATGCTATGGGCCAAGTATTAGCCCCCTAGGCCTTCTAGTATTTGAGAAGAAGTTATTTAAAGATTTTGACATATTTGACCCCTGCGACCTTGAAAGTTGTTCAAGGTCATTCATTTAAATAAACTTGGTAGCCTTTCCTCCCAGCATGCTACAGACCCAATATCGGCACTCATAGACTTTTGCTTATTGAGATGAAGTCCTTTGTATATTTTAACATATTTGACCCCTGTGACCTTGAAAGTGGGCCAAGGTCATTCATTTGAACAAACTTTGTAGGGCTCCATGCCAGCATGCTATGGGCCAAGTATTAGCCCCCTAGGCCTTCTAGTATTTGAGAAGAAGTTATTTAAAGATTTTGACATATTTGACCCCTGTGACCTTGAAAGTTGTTCAAGGTCATTCATTTAAACAAACTTGATAGCCCTTCATCCCAGCATGCCACAGGCACAATATCAGCAATCTGAGCCTTTTGGTTATTGAGAAGTTGTTTAAAGATTTTAACATATTTGACCCCTGTGACCTTTAAAGTGGTTCAAGGTCATTCATTTGAACAAACTTGGTAGTCCTTCATCCCAGCATGTCACAGGCCCAATATCTACACTCTGAGCCTTTTGGTTAATGAGAAGAAGTTGTTTAAAGATTTTAACATATTTGACCCCTGTGACCTTTAAAGTGGGTCAAGGTCATTCATTTGAACAAACTTGGTAGAGCTCCATGCCAGTATCCTCTGTGCCAAGTATTAGCCCCCTAGACCTTCTAGTATTTGAGAAGAAGTCGTTTGAATGAAAAGTTTACGGACGGCGCATGGCGGACGGCGCACGATGACGGACGAAGCATGATGACTATAGGTCATCGGACCCTTCGGGTCCAGATGACCTAAAAATTGTTACGGGCCGATGGACACATGGCGATTTCAATAGCCCAGTACTAAATAATGGCGAGCTAAAATATTCTGGACAAGAGGCACAATGGGCCTACATTATCCACTTAGTATTCAGAGCTTTTTACAAATCCATCAACTTTTCATATCATTAACGCTCAGTCTTGCTTGCCGACTTAAGGTTATTACATGATGTTTTAACAAGCTTACCGCTGTAACCTTGAATACTGACCAAACTAAAGTACAACATGCACAACTAAGACAAATATGAACAGATCTTCACCGATACCCAGGACGACCAACTGTCAGCCATTTTGTTATTATCTGTCCCAAACGTGACAAGGGACCAAGAGAATAAATGATATGATACATGAAAGTGATCCATGCAGAACTTTTCATGAAATGCATTCATGTTTAAGGATCGACGAAGGGCGAATTGAACAAACAACTCAACATCTGATTTAATCACATGTTGGGTTGGAAATAAATAATAAGAATGATTTTTTCATTTCTGAAAAAAGATCATAATTTATTGTTAACTTTTTTTGGTTGTTTTCAAATGCACAATCCACAAATTGATGGCATCACATATATATATATATACATTCTAGACAAAAATATAACAAATATTCTGATACTTACCAGAGTGGCATGTGACAAGTTGCCCAGCTGATAAGATGAATGAACACCAGCAATATTATAATACTTATTACAACAGAACGAAAGACAACCAAACCTTCAAAGCACTTGTCTGCTGACAGACTTTTAACATATTCTCAATGTCACCCACATCATATCATTTTAAATCCTAAATCACATACATTTCCACATATCTAAACCCTGGTATATCACACATGGGAACTCTATTCCACTCCTCACTCCCAATCCACACCTTACTCCATCCTCTCATTTTTCACACATATTTCAACACTTTAAACATTTTCCTAACATATCCAGATATGGCAAGGACAGTATTCTACAGCTGTTTTTTTTGCTGGGTTATATGTTTCATATAATTTACGAAGTATTTACATACTGGGATTTGAATATATATGATTATTGCACACAGGTTTCCTGACTGATACAGTTCCTACTTAAAACTTTCAGGGCCAAGTAAGATGTTTACAGTTAAGTGCTAACAACAGGTAATCCTACAATAAAATGCAATTAAATGTGTTCAGTAGTGAAATAAGATATTTTAACTTTTAAATCTTGTTAAGCCTAATACCACAAAACATTATTTCATGTAAAGGAAAATCTGAAACTTTCATGAAGAATAAAGAAAAAAGTTCGTTATTTATAAACACAGCAATGTCTTTTTTTCAAACTTATTTTATTTGAGCTTGTTATGAGCAAGAGAAGTTTACATGCTCGATTCATACTTTGACTGCAGTTAATCAGTGAAGACAGAAAATTTTAAAATGACCGACAGAAATCCTGCTAATTGTTCCTTATCAACTGTGATAAATCGGAGAGGGAACTCTACTGAATAGATTTTTTATCAAACGATCAGTGTACCTTTCCGGACCTCGCCTCCTCAATTTGCCACGAGGTTGGTTTAAGGAAGGGTCGAAAACATTCAACAATAATACACCACTGAGGAACATTAACATATTCAGAGTCAACATTTACAAACACGACCCTAAACTAACCAGTAGGTAAAAGTGTTCAGCTGAAACATCACCTAGAGGAAACAGTGCATAGATTGGAATACAAGTACTATAATGTGTGTCCTTTCTATAACAGCGCTACAAAATAAATATCCCTGCAAATTTATAAAGAAATATTCTGATTCTCTGAATCAACTGCTGAACACTTAGAAACTGAAAACGAACTTTCCAAAACTTGACATACCTTAATTGTGTGCACAGCTTTGGTCAACAAATGAGGTATTAAAAGTAGGATTGAGATTCAACAACTGTGCACGGAAAGCGAAAAGAAACTGGAATTCTAAGACACATGTACAACAAAACGCCCTATCTCAATAAATTATTTTTACACTGTGACGTTTTACTTTCAAATAATTGATACAAATAATAATGTCTATGTACTACCTACTATAATAATAAGTCAGTTCCCAAGTTGAATACATTGTAGTACAAAGGCAACAGCTGTGATTTTCAATATCATAGTTTCATCCTGGTCCCATAAAGACCTAGATATGGCAAAGATTTAGTTTTCCTAATACCGACATCAAAATATGCCTCAGCTTATGGTACTACAGGTGTAAGAATAACAAATTTTCAAGAAACTAGTGGGGTTCATGAAATCACATGTCTCCTTGGTGTTTACCCAAGCCCCAAAAGGACAACATCCTCCCATTAACCTTTTTACAAAAGGATAACCAATTAATTTTGTTCACATCCCTTCATACAACTGGCCTTAAAGAGTCATGCCCTAAAATAAATCAGCATTAAGTCCCCTTTTGTCATAACCTACTGAAATTATTTTAAAGTCTCTTTGTCTATAGAGTTTAAAGCTAGGCCTCCATTTCCCTAATGTACCACTTCTTTGTTCATCTGGGATCATATCTCCATAACAAGAGTTCCATTCAATCAGCAATTCTACTTTAAAAAAGTTTTGGTAAAACCCCTCCATCTTTATGGAATTCTTTCAATTTTATTTTTTATCTGTAAGTCTTTATTGAACCACATCTGTTACCCAAGAGTTCACTTGACATATACAAAATTAAATTTCATTCCCCTCATAAATCCCAAAACCAAGTTAGGTCAAATCCGCTAAAACCGATCTGGACAAGAAGTATAAGAAATGGTTGATGATCAGCTAACACCCAATGGCCAATGAAAGATTGTTCATGACCAGCTGTAAGATTGGGACAAGGATCATAATATCTGCCGTATCTACATCTTCTCAAGAGTACATTAGTTACAAGAGCATGGGCGACAGGAACAGTAACAGTTTTGTGACAACACACCCAAGAACCTTTTAAAATAAACGGATTTGACATGTTTTGTTCAGCTCCTCATTAGGTCCCATGGAGTAAAAATCCACCTTAAAGGTTAAACATTTTTTCTCTTGGAGATCTGACTTGTGCCCTGCATTAACAGAATATTTTGGCTGACAGAAAGTGATGAAAGCACATATGTACTAGCATCTTTCACTTTTACATGCAGGACAGTTAAAAAGTACAGTACATTAAATTGCAACAATTTTTCAAATAATATGAGTGATAGATTTACTTCCCCACCTGTACTGATGCTCAACATTAAATACAAACACCCTCGTCCTGACACACAAACACACACATCAAACATGTTTACAGGTCCATGAGGAATACCTGAGGAAGAGTTTATTAAACAAGACATTGTTAATCACACATCTCAGGCATGTACAAAAAAAAAAAAAAAAAAAACCACAAATATGTGATGATGCACCATGTCACATAAAGAGAAGGATCACAAAGAATTAAACTTTTTGGTGTTGCCCTTTTCATTGTCATGCTATCTGCATCATTGTACAGAATTATTCAGGGATCATCCTGCACAGCAGAATTACCACAGTAATCCAAGACTTGGAAAAAACCCACAGCGATCCAGACTCAGAAAATACATAGAATTTCTGACTCGGAAAATTCACAGTAGTCCAGACTTCTAAAAAGCCACAGAATTTCCAACTCAAAAACCACAATATTCCCTGAGATTTTACCAAAATATCCCCATTCAGAAATAGACAAGTCAATATATGGAATTCAATGGGGAAAATATTAAAATTTCACTTGTTAACCATTCAAAGAATAGAAAGACATTTTCAACTTTTAAAAACACTTTCCTTAAAAAATTTGAGCACGATGAGCAGATAGCATAAACAACAAGAATCTGCCAACACCACATATAGAATTCTTATCATTAACATCTATATTTATGAAACCCATACAATGAAGATCAGGATTCTGGTCCTATGGAAATTACAGTGAAAGAGCGATGATGAATCTGACATATATATCTATATATATATCTTGTAACAGTGTTAATAATAATGACTTACAAACAAAAATGTACAAATAACTTTAAGAAAAGTATTTACAAAGGCAGTACTTATATTACTATATTTGCATGGAAAGAGGTGATCACATGAGATAAAAGATGAGACATTACTGAAAATCTACTTTATTTTTGATGGTTCCCTTTTTTTCTCGGAATCTTTTCTGTTATGTATGAAGTAAAAACTGTCGATGAATTTCCATATGGTGTTCATTTTAATCTTTCATCTATGTTTTGCTTTTAGAGTTGTAGTGAAAATGGATGTAGTTCAATTGTAAAAACATGCAGGAAAAATAAAGAAAGAAGAAGAAAAAAGAGAAACCATCAAAAACAAAGAACTCTGCAGCACGAGATATGTTATAGGAAAATGCAAGTTTGTCGGTGCTACCTGCGCATCATTCCATTCATGTTTAGCGTAGGTGCAGCCATGTAGCCATACGCTGGGTAGGAATTGTTGGACTGTGGTGCTTGCATGTGCTGCTGGAATTGCTGGTGTGCTGCTGAGTTCATGTTCATATTCATGTTTAACATTTGCATGGGCAGCTGTGGTGTCTGGCCGAGCTGGTTAATGAAGCCAGCATGATTAATGTATCCTGGGTTAAGCATAGGCTGACGCATGCGATAGCTATCCAGCATGTTGTAGCCTGTGATCATGTTGGAACCCGGGCGAATCGTTACATTAGGAGTAAATGGGGGCATATTGGGATTAACAGTCACATTGGGACTTTTCCTCACTGACGAAGATGAGGATCGTTGTCTTTGGTACTGTTTGTACTGAGGCACAAGCGACGAAGAATTCTGAGCCTGCAGGTTGGAGATGGGTGGGGTCGCCATATTCCTGATCATTGATGGGGGCGGTGTCATATTCACTGGGGGCGGGGGAGTGAGGTTAGGAGGAGGAGTCATGGTGTTATCGGGCATATTAATGTCAACTAACCCGTTTGTGAGCTGTTGTAGTTTGGCAATACTACAACTTGAATTGTTTTGATTTTGTCCTGGATTTTGGCCCGCAAACTGACGGCCCACAGGGACGGAACATGGCGTGTTGTTGTGAGTAAGCCTATGAGTGTTGTTCTGTTGCAATAGCACTGATGCGTATGAGGATACAGGTGGTGGTGGGCAGTAACTAGGCATGGTGTTAGCTGGACCAGTCTGCATATAGTTACTACCAGCACTTGATGAACAGCTAACCGGGTGTGGTGAGTTGACCATGTCCATGTAGCGGCCACTGGCCATCATGTTGTTTATATACATTTGCTGTGTCTGGGCACAGTCGTAGTAATTCCCGACTGGGTCCCCACCCATGTTCGGATTTGTCATCTCTGTACTGCTGATGGAAGTGGGCGACTCCAGTCCCAGCTGAGCCACATCAATGTCTACATTTGCGTAGTTGTTGGAAGCCATATTGGCATTGGGAATGTTGTTGATGGGGTTGTTTTGTGATGGATAAATGCTCTGAACATTGCCACAGTTTTGATTTGGATGTGTCTGTTGAGCTGGAGTTGGGACAGGGGGCTGGGCTGGGGTTGGAGGTTGGGCAGGGGGAGCCTGAGTAGGGGCAGGGGGAGGGGCAGAAGGGGCAGACACAGTCACAGCTGGGGGAGTTTCCACACAACCCATGTTCATAGTGTCTCTCTGCGCCATTTGATCAGTTGTTGAAGACAAGTTACTAGCTGGACCAGACATGTTACTGGCTGGTCCTGTCACAGACATGTTACTAGCTGGCCCTGTCACAGACATGTTACTAGCTGGCCCTGTCACAGACATGTTACTGGCTGGTCCTGTCACAGACATGTTACTAGCTGGTCCAGACATATTACTTGCATGACCAGACATGTTACTAGCTGGACCACGATCAAAGTTTGCACGCAATTCCTCAGTAAAAGTTTCCTGAAAGTTTTGTGAAGTGTTAAGAGTTTCTCTCACAGGAGAATCACAGTATTGTCCAGGATAATTGTCATCACTTGGAATGTCATCGTCAGATGAATTTTCATCTTCTAACGCCGAGTCTACATCATCAGTCTCCATCAATGTTGGAGGTTTCTGAGGTGTTGTGTCTACAGGTTTAGGCTCAGGTAGAGCCTCTACACGAGGGATGGATGTTGGTGTTGTCTGCTCCTCCACTGGTGAGCTACACTCTGGCGTAAGTCCCTCTACCACAGGGGGTGGAGTTGGGACCTGGGGGGTGAGAGGGGCAGGCACATCACTGTTTGTGTCAGACACACAGTCTGTCATAGCTGGCTGTGGAGCAGGACTTGGTTCGTGAACTGGGAGAGGATCAGGTGTCATATGTTCACGTTCCTGTTCAGGACTATCTGCCTTCATCTCCACATCCCCTGGGCTATCGTTATTACCCTCCTCTCCAGAGTCATTTTCTGTCTCATCAGGTTCCTGATTTTGCTCCGCCTCCTGGAGAGCATGAACCGCCTCCTCAATTTCACGACTGTTCTCCGCACTATCACTGTCATCATCAGAAACCTCAACAGAATCGTTCTTGTTGTCAGCAGACTTGAGAATCTTTTCCCTATTACTGTTATCACAGTCATTATCATTGGCGACATCAAACAATTTAGTTGGTAGGTCCTCTGGCTCTGACAGAATATGACTGACAGCTTCCTCCGTGGAGGACATGTTACAAGCCTCATTGGACTCTTTCAACTGTAACTCTTTCGTTGTCGCTTCCTTTGAACTGTCCTTTTCCACTGGATCCACTATTCGTCCACTAGCACAGTTATCTCCCTTGCAGGCAGCTCCCTCCACATCATTGTCAGTGTCACCACAGTTGTCTGTACTGTCATCCTTCGTATCCGCCAGCGAGCGGTAATTACACTGAAAAAATTAAAATCCAATAAAATAGAATATGCTTTTACTAATAAGAACTGCTCAAAACAACAAGAAGGAAATTTGCACGTAGCAAACTATGTCATATCAATTTTATCTTGAAATATTACTTCGGCAACAACATCCCATGACATGAGCCATGTAATAACAATTGTTGGTTAAAATGATTTTATATAAATATGCTGATGTACAAAAAGGTACCAAATAGCAATAAAAAAAAACCAAAAAAAAACCAGAGATGGCAGCTGACTATTTCACGTTTTTGATATACATGTAATAAAAAAAATTGGTAAGGCTGGTGAAATGGCAAGGACAAATTCTGTGAGTAAAACTGAATAAAAGGTAAAAATCTCCATCCTCTACAGTACATAAACTGGATTGTGATACTTTGACAGAAGCAAGTTATGAGTTAAACAAAGTTCAAGCTGATTGATGACCAGCTGAACAAACAATGCCACACCATATTAATTCCATTTTAGATGGCCCTTTATCAATACCAGCTACAATTTATAATTGCAAATAAGAATAAAAAAAGTTGTGATACTGTAAAGGACCATAAACAGCTTTTTTACCTTTGGGGGCCTGCCCCTGCTTTTCTTGGCCTTCTTGACTGGTGAGCCACGTGGAACACCCTTAGGCCAACCTTGGCGTGAACGACGCTGTTTTGGGGTTGGGACTTCCTCATCTTCCTCTGGCACAGACTCGAGATGGCTATCTGTTTGACCATTCATTTTCTCCCGTGGCATGTGGCTCTTGTAAGAGCCAGAGGATAAAGATGAGAAATCCATAGCATTATCAGACAAGCTTGTCGCATCCATACCTGTAAATTAGTGGAAGAATAACACTCAGAAACCATATTTCCAAAGTTGTTTGAGTTAACAGAGTTTAAATTTAATTTCTTTAGGAAATACCTTCCAACTCACAACTGTGGTTTGTGTTGAGAACAAATGGTAAAGTATACCTGTGATATTCAGTGCAAAGTTGAAATGAACTACATGATTTAAAAAAAAGTGTGATGACCAACCATCTGTTTGTCTGTCACCTCGACCACTCTCTCGACGAGACTTCTTATTACTGGAGCTGTTGTTTTCGTTCTCAGAGTCGGGTAGTTTGCGTTTCTTCGCTGGCGGTCGACCAGGCTGCAAATAACATCATAAGTTCAGAAGAACTCGCACAACATAATAAAGATGTAAGACGAAGTGTTAAAAAATTCTCACTTAAAAGTATAGATTCCAAGAAATATATGACCAATTGTCTCACATCTCAACCAAAACCAGGATTATCATAACTAGAGAATCATAAATGAGAATCGCACCATCATGATTCTTCAAAGTTCATACTCAAGTCATATAGTTATCAGGTCCATGATGTTAGCATCTGGACTTGGACAGCTATAAATAACACAACCAACCATTCTATGAGAAACACTAAAATTATCAATAATTTTATGCCAGAAAAGCAATATCTTCAAACTTTTTATTTTCTATGATAATTTCGAAAAGAATGTTGACTAGGTGACTAAATAGCCAAATTCAAAATGGATATTAAACTTGAAAATGTCTGTAAGACATGAATGCCCCCGCCCTCCCATGTGAAATAATAGTGAAAGGTCCGAAAGAGATGATTTTGTTAATTTGTATGCAACTATGTACAACTTAAGTTTCATACTTAAATTGACAAGTTGATTTAACGTACATGAATTTGGAATTTTGTTCTCTGGAAAAAATGAGGGAGTATATTAGTTCCTTATGCCTTAAAACCCACAAGTACCAATTTATGAAGAAATAAGATGATGTTCCTCTTTTTTGAGTTATCTCCCCCTGGTGGCCATCTTTTTTTAGAATGCAGAGAAATTCAAGACTGCATGAGGTCTTTCCATACTTGATATTTGTATGAAGTTTCATGAAAATTGCCTTCTGAATGAAGTTGTTAGGTGGTATATACTGATTTGGGACGCGACGCGAAACGACGGGACGGGACGGGACGGGACGGACGGACGGACATGGGCAACGCTATATGCCCCCGGCCATAAATGGCGGGGGCATGAAAAATTCTCACTTTTTATCACAAGTTAAACAGAAAATTAATCCTACGAGCAAATAGATATTAATAAATGTAATAGCACTTATTTGGATGGCCTTTTCACCTTCCTCAACTAATCCTCACACTTACCCTTCTCTTCGGGGCAGGACTGTCATCGCTTGGACTATCATCTTTCCGCTTAAGCTTATGGTCCTTTTTGTCCACAGATTGTTCAATTAAAGTTTCTACACTTTCATCCTGGGAGGTATCATCTTCCTTTTTTGGGGAGGGTTGTGGTGATGATTCACGACTTGAGAATGGTGTTCCACCCTCAGGAATTTTCACAGGGTTGTCTATACTTTTACGAGGTGAGAGCTCCATTCTCCTGGGACTAATTTCTAATTTGTATGGAGAGTCTCTCTTTTTCGGTGATGATGTTTCACATTTTCTGGGACTAACAGATTGCATCCACTCTCGGTCTTCAGCAATGGTGTTTACCATTTTTGACATTTCTCTTAACTGGAAAGTAATAAGGACAACAGTGTCAACATCTAAGCATTTAATCTAAGACCTTACAAGAGCTGTTGCAGTCCTTTTAAATTGAAATATTAAAATATGACAACATCTATACAGCATTTCCTATCTTTTACTTTCATCATACTTCATATTTTCCAACTTAAAATCTTATTCTTATCGATATTGAATTAGAAAAACCAGTGCCTATGATACAATACATAAACACCTACACCGGAATTTTTCCATAAGTCTGAAATTTTGATTTCCCATAAGTCTGAAATTTTTACATCATATTTGGCCCAGTCTCCTGTTTCTGCTCTCATAAAAACTGTGCCAGTAACACAATTCACTCATAATACACTCCTGCAATGCCTCACCTCTGTCTCAGCACGACGCTCCTCCTCATTTATACAATGACTAGATATGAGGGGTGTCCATCGCAGACTATCGGGGTCTAACTCTATTCGCTGGTGACGCTTGGCCTCCAACCGTTCCATATGCTCCTTGACCAACTGTTTGTTGACTGCTATCACAATTCTACAGCAGCAAAAGAGGGTAAGAAATTAACAGTGTTCAGTCAAAGTGTTTAAAGTTGAGGGGGGTTTGTTTTTAATTTGTATTTTCAAGGTCTCTTAACTTTTGTGAATGAAACCCCATAGCAATACAGCATGGCATTTTAACATTCCAAATAGTCAGAGAAATCTTCAATGATTTGACAGCAGCAACCAAATTCTGAAGCATTGTAACTTACTTGCTATCTTTGTGAGCCACCATATTTAGCTGATGTAAGGTCTGCCCTACATCGTGAGGACACACACCCGTTGTACGGCTAATAGCTGGAACACAAAAAAAGAAGTCTAGACTATTGTTCCCTTCATTTCAAACTGATGTAATATGTAAATTTTTGCGGTGAGAAATCTAAAACTCTCCAAACATTTTAACAAAGGCACTGCAAATTGTTTACATTCAAATGAATTTCATTAAAAAAAAAGATGAAAGAATGCACTGTAACTTCATCATTTACCCTATCCATCAGCCCATAACCAAGATGTTTTTAATACATGTTCCCTCATATTTCCTCTAATAAAATATTCGGGTATTGGAAAATATTTATGAAACACATACGTCCTCCATCTCTTTTAAAAGTCGGCAAAAGGTTTTGAAAAGAGAAAGCCAACCCCTGATGCTGCGTCTAACTGCATGATGACAACATAATGAAAGAGACTGTAATACACTTACATTTAATTGAGACTTTTGTGTCCGGATACTTGTGAAGGTATTCAAGGATGATGCTCTTCCAGTATGCTTGGTAACTGACTTTACCAAGATCTGAGAGTGGTTTCTCTGGAGAGCCTGGCTGTCCCTCAATCCTTGACAACAAGTAACTAAAGTCAATGAGGAAGCGGCCATAGCCCTTGCGTTGATACTGAGGCATCGTCATTATACACGACACATTGTACTTCTGTTGACAGTGTTTTTCCTGAAATGGCAAATTTTCTTTTTTTACATTAAGTTTTCAGTATGGTCATTTCAACATCTCCCATCCACATCAGGCATCAAGTTTTTCAATTTCGTTTTTTCTGTTGTTTTCACTAAATGTTTTATCATTGAGAAAAACCTCAAACAAAAAGCCAATTTTCTGGGGTGTCAGAATCCTACAAACAGATTCTGAACTGAAATATCACTGAAAAACTTGCCTCCCTATGAAGTTTACATCTATAAAGAATTACTCAATAAATCACTTTTTAAGAACTTGTTTCAATAGAGTTCTAATATGAAATTAAAATGAATAAAATGAAGAAAATACAAGATTAATTCATAATAAGAATTATCCAATGTAATGTAAGTTAATATTTGAGGAGCCAATTAAATTTGATCTTGAAATAAGAAACCACAAAAAAAAGTTTAAAATGAAATTGTGGCTGACCTTAGAGAAGTATCCGATGACATGACAGCCCAGCTCATCATTTGTTGTAACAACATAAAATAAAAAGGGTTCAACATCATAGTAAAGAGTTTTATGGTCAAGGAAGAGTTTGGCGAGAAGGCACAGATTTTGACAGTAGATCTTGCTGGCGTTACCATCAACTTCAAACACCGATATTCCATCTCTACGGTAGATCTCATTGGCTGGTGGATGGTGCAGGTCACACTTATTCTAAAAACAAAGGTAACAGGTCACAGGAAGAAACATAACAAGCCAGATTACTACCGATGAAGGGAAGGTGTGAACGTTTCAAGTACTGTATTACTGAACAAAGTATTGATAGTATTGTACTGAAGTACTTCACCAATCGAATTCTTTAAATTTATGCAACAAGCTCTCTGATTGGCAGAGCCAAGTCTAGATCGATTGTGGGTGGAGCCAGGTGAAAAAATACTGTGCAGACATCGGCATTTTACAAACACTCGACTGTCGCGAGAGGTTAATTGGAAGAGTCCAAGTCACAGGTGGCTTCAGATCAGACCTAATTGGGTTGTCCCATTTGTTTCGTTCTACACCCAATGATACCTTGCTTTTCCATCGATGGTACAACGAGAAAACGAAAGTTACTCAGTACTAAACTAATTTACGTACAAAATATATATCAACAGGTTAGATCACTGGGACCGGAGAATTCATAACATCTTAACAGTGATTATAGTCATATAGTCATTCTGTACTAGTTTTATTTATTTATTTATTTTTTTTGAAAGGGGGGGGGGGGGAGGGTTGGCTCAAAATATTTAGGTTTAAGCCCAAGCTCTATTATATGTAACAAAGAATTACGATTTACCTGGGACCTCCTGATATATGCCGATAATTCATACTGCATTAAAAAGTAAAGGAATTCTGTGGTCCCATATATTTTTTATTTTATTTTTTATCTTTCCATCGAAAATTATACATGTCCGCAACATGTGAAAAAACTTTGAAGTTGGTTGGGCGGAATGTCTCGAGCATTTACTACTGCAAGTTCCAGAAATTCTGACACAAGTCGGGTATTTGCCCGAAGCCTCTGTCTCATGACATTGAATACATATTCAGTTACGTTGTATCCCGGGGAATAAGGCGGCTGAAAAACCAGGGACACGCCATATTCTTTCAGCATATTTCTTAAAATGCGCTCTCCCTGTCTATGGTGATGGAATCCACAATTATCCATCACAACCACATCGCCTTGTACAAAAACAGGATTCCCCATATCGTTCGTATCGGACATAATTTCATCGAAGAAAATTTTGCGTACTGTTGCCGTCGTCGGACATTTTTCCAGCGATTACTTAGTAGTTGTTATGTAACTGATAGTGTACATTAACTCCGCCTTCCGGAACAAATTGGGTGTCAGATCAACTATTCAGGTTGTCTAAACTCCGCCCCCGACCAATCACAGAGGTCGTTGTATACTTGACTCGATTATTTGAATACTTCAATACAATAGTATCAATACTTTGTTCAATACTATAGTAAGTGTGTCGTTCACACCTTCCCTTCATCGGTAGTAAGAATGATGAGCAAATTTTTGTTTCATGAATACAATACTCATTATTCACAACAGTGCTACGAAAAAGTTTATTCTCCTACGACTGACACACATTATTCTAAACCTTCTCTTCCACATTTTTGCTTAAATGCCCGAACAATACCTATTTCAGCTATTATAATTATTATTATTACTATTAAAAAAACACATAGGTATATTATATGTTACTGATAATTTACTCCACATCATTATTGAAAACACTTATTTCAATTTGTAACAGGATCATTGGTGTGTTAGCATGTGAAATGATCACTTTCGGGATGAGTTCACACATCAGATTAGTGAAATGAGAAGGACATGTTATATGTTCAGATTTGACCATATGTTAATATATTTTTATAGCCCATTGCTACTAATGACAGGGTTTACCATATGTCGCTGTAGAATGTTTCTGCTCTTCATGTACTTCAAACAGTATTCACAGATGTACAGTCTTGGCAGCCTACAATTAAACAAGTACTATCATTATGCAAAATGACATCATTTTGTAATCACTCTATAGAATAAAATTACGTTGTTTGTAACTGAATCAATTATGAAAAAGTTCGGGGAAAAAACCCCATCCATTTTGACATTACTGTTTTATCTTAATAGTTAAAGCAAATTACCTCCCCTGATGATTAAGTGGTACCACACACTCACTACCTGGTAGCATATTCTCAGTAAGCTATACTAATCTGTCAGTTCTAGATCATAATATAGTAAAAACTTACACCAACAAATATCCCTTGTCTACTGAAAGGCTGAAAGGCCATCATAGAAGACGTAAAACCAGTTAGATAAATAAATAACAAATATATACACAATGATTACTTATATGGGCAGATCTAAAAATCAAATGTATTTAACAAAAAAAAGGATAAATCTCTGATTCCAGAAATGTCATGTTGGATGTTTCAGGCAGAAGTTAAAGCTCAACAAAGTTGTTAAAGGTAATTCACATCCTTTATAAATAAACATCTTCCTTAATCCATCACCAACTTCACATTACTTAGAAGGCACCATTCTCAAAACCCATAATGTTAATATTTCAACTTAACAGGTCATAATTAACACCAAAACCCCTGATGATTTTGAATCTGAATTCAGAGTGCAAATATTTTATTGTTTTTGCATGGTATGAAATAAACAGGAATCTGATCAGTGCTTTATAACACAAACTCTGCCGTGTAAGTGCAGTCATTGGTTCCATGACTGCACCCTATCATAAACTTTAACACAGCAAGTTTATGTACAACTTACAGGCACAGATACACAGTTGTTAAAGCTAATATCGATCAAAAAAATATCAAGATATACATGTCAAATCACATGCTATGTTTTTTCACAAAAATAAACTTAAAACACCATTCACCCAATAATATTAACAGCAGGCAGGGTAACAAATTAAGCAGGAAAACAGGAATTGCTCTATGCATATTGTATCCAATACGCTAATTGCATAATAAAATTAAATCTAAGATGATAAGATCCTCATTATAAAATGGGCAACATTTTCCTATCACAAAAATGGTAAATCTCTTTAAAGAACATTGATAAGTCCGTGAATTTTTGTAAAGTATTACTCTCTCTGAAATGCCAAACACTGACACCACAAATACTGGGATTAGTAAAACCAGATGTTTGTTGACAGAAGTCCGTACTTACCTGGCATATTCCTGTGGGTAGGGTGACGAGTACCATGTCTGTATTTCATATTTTCCAAATTCAATACAGGGTGGAAAACGGCTCTGAACTGGTGTAGGGGCGGGAGCCTCTGAAATCTCACTGCTGCAGTTGCTCGCTGCATCCTGCAAATCAATATCATACTGTAACCCAAAAAAATTGGGATTAATAAGAAGTTCAAATTGACAAATATGGCACTTAACAATTCTAATGTGATGTGACGACAGCAGTTGAAATTCAGGAACATCTTATACAGTGCAAGGTGCAATACTAAAGAATGGGACCAAACATTGCATTGCAGTTAAATAAATCAGAACCACGCTAAACAAAAAGTAATATTTAAATGACAGTACACATAGCTATTAATATGGAATATCATGCATGTCCAATGAAAAAAAACTGATTAAACTAGTGAATATATAATCAAGACACAAAATGTTCATATTTCTAAAAAAAAAAAAAAAAAAAGCAATATCATATATATTTATAGATGAACCATATCTTCATAAATCCCAAATTTCTTTCAGAGAACCAAAGACAAATTTATGATATTGCTTTTTGTGACAAAATGGCATGCTTTGAGTTACACTACTAATACAATCATTGATCTACTTTAAGCAACTTTTGAAATATCTAATTAAAAATTGGCCAAGAAATCAAGATTAATTAAATATAATATAAAATAAAACGATAACCAGTCATTTTTGTTTCAATATTTTTGAAGACCATACTTGTCCCAAATTTGAATTTATCTGAATTTTCATTCATCTAGGGTTTGTTTCATCCATTTCATATCTCTTTCCCCTTACAGTTCAAAATGCTTCTCAAACATTTAGATATGAAATAGTATACATAGATTTAAACATTTTGTATCTCTTTTCCCTTACAGTTCAAGATGCTTCTTGAAATTTTCATGTGAAATGATATGTAGTCTTACAGAGGTAAGGGCTGGGACGATACACCTACTGCATGTTTTGGCTTAAACAATAATATATTTTACATGTTTTTCTATTGACTTACACAATGTACATCATGTGCACATATATCTGTAACAACTACATAGTGTTTTTTTTTCTTTCTAATATTGTTAACTTTCATAATCTCTGATAATGATTTGATTCCTTGATATACAGCTAGTCTAATAAAGCTGCTAAGTGAATTTCACAAACAAATAACATGAACAAAAAATATTGGGATTTTTTCCCCAATTGATTTAACAGTGAAACTACACTGTGTATGGCTACAAGTAACACTTAAGAGCGTTGATTATGATATATATCGTCCCAGTCCTAGCCAGCACCATTGTTATTAAAAGGCAAAGGCTGGTTATCTCCCTTAAGCTTATGTGTCGGACTACCAGAGCCAAGCTCATTATAGAGAAAATCATCTCCGACCATACAGTGATTAAAACTGCAGGCAAACCAGATAACAAGTGTGACTAACATTTTCAACCATGTTTTTTCCCATTCTTGTTGTTTAAGCACTTCTATCATAATGTCTGGTTAGGTGATATATGCAAAAATAGCATTATAAAAAAGCTCTGTAAAGTGTTTCAATTATAGCAGTCAAAAGTAAAGGTCTATAAAAACAGCAACACAACAGCCAGATAAGTAATACATCCTAGAAGTCCCAAGTAAAGGTCTATAAAAACAGCAACACGACAGCCAGATAAGTAAAACATCCTAGAAGTCCCAAGTCAAGGTCTATAAAAACAGCAACACGACAGCCAGATAAGTAAAACATCCTAGAAGTCCCAAGTAAAGGTCTATAAAAACAGCAACACGACAGCTAGATAAGTAATACATCCTAGAAGTCCCAAGTAAAGGTCTATAAAAACAGCAACACGACAGCCAGATAAGTAAAACGTCCTAGAAGTCCCAAGTCAAGGTCTATAAAAACAGCAACACGACAGCCAGATAAGTAAAACATCCTAGAAGTCACAAGTCAAGGTCTATAACAAGAGGCCTAAGGGGCCTTAACGGTCACCTGAGGAATATATGTCAATAATCTGGGATTTTAAAATGTTGCAAAAATGTAACCAGACTTGTGCAGGACCATGTGTAAAACATCTGTACCAAGTTTGAACATGACCCACCCAATGGTTCTTGAGAGGAAGTCCATAATGTCTTAGCCAAACAGAGGCCAGGGTGGCCATCTTGGATTTTGAATCGTCCCCAAAAAGTTAAAACACTTGCCTGGACCTTGTGTAGAACATTCATATCAAGTTTCCCCTTTTCCCCCCTCCTGGGGCCCCTATTGGGGCCACGCCCTTTTTCTTCGCAAACTTGAGGAGGCTTCCCATGCAGATGCTTTGTGCCAAGTTTGGTCAATATCCATCTAATGGTTCTTGAGAAGTAGTCATTTAATGAAGGTTTTTACATATGGCCCCTTTTACACCCCTTATGGGCCCCAAAGGGAACATTATCACTTTTTTCAACATAATTTCATATGTCCTTCACTAAGGGATGCTGTCTGCAAAATTTGGTTGAAATCGGTCAAAGCTGAATTTTCGATCCTGTTGAGCACGCCCTAGTGGGGCCGTTTTTGGCCTGATATTTTTTTTCATTCGCAAACTTTGTAGACCTTGCCATTAGGACCCTAAATATCAAATATGAATTTAATCTGACTGTTAGTTCATGAGAAGAAGATTTTTAAAGATTTACCTAATTTTACCCCCTTTTTTCCCCCCTCCCGCGGCCCCTATTGGTGCCACACAATTTTTCTTTGCAAACTTGAAGCGGCTTCCCATGGGGATGCTTTGTGCCAAGTTTGGTCAAAATCCATCCAATGGTTCTTGAGAAGAAGTCATTTAAAGAAAAGAAGGTTTTTACATATGGCCCCTTTTACACCCCTTATGGGCCCCAAAGGGGAAATAATCACTTTTTTCAACATAATTTCATATGTCCTTCACTAAGGGATGCTTTCTACCAAATTTGGTTGAAATCACTCAAAGTTGAATTTCTGACTCTATTAAGTGCCCCCTAGTGGGGCCGTTTTTGACCTGATTTTTTTTTCATTCGCAAACTTTGTAGACCATGCCATAAGGACCCTAAATATCAAATAGGAACTTAATCTGACTGTTGGTTCATGAGAAATTTTTTTTTAAAGATTTACCTAATTTTACCCCTTTTTTCCCCCCTCCTGTGGCCCCTATTGGTGCCATGCCCCTTTTTCTTCGCAAACTTGAAGCGGCTTCCCATGGGGATGCTTTGTGCCAAGTTTGGTCAAAATACATTCAGTGGTTCTTGAGAAGAAGTCGAAAATGTGAAAAGTTAACGACGCACGACAACAGACAAATCCTGATGGCAAAAGGTCACCATGAGCCTTCGGGTCAGGCGAACTAAAAACAGCACAAGACAGCCAGATAAGTAAAACATCCCAGAAGTAAAGGTCTATAAAAATAGCAACATGACAACCAGATAAGTAAAACGTCCTAGAAGTCCCAAGTAAAGGTCTATAAAAACAGCAACACGACAGCCAGATACGTAAAACATCCTAGAAGTAAAGGTCTATAAAAACAGCAACACGACAGCCAGATAAGTAAAACATCCCAGAAGTAAAGGTCTATAAAAACAGCAACACGACAGCCAGATAAGTAAAACATCCTAGAAGTAAAGGTCTATAAAAACAGCAACACGACAGCCAGATAAGTAAAACATCCTAGAAGTAAAGGTCTATAAAAACAGCACATGACAGCCAGATAAGTAAAACATCCTAGAAGTCACAAGTAAAGGTCTATAAAAACAGCAACACGACAGCCAGATAAGTAAAATATCCTAGAAGTCACAAGTAAAGGTCTATAAAAACAGCAACACGACAGCCAGATAAGTAAAACATCCTAGAAGTAAAGGTCTATAAAAACAGCAACACGACAGCCAGATAAGTAAAACATCCTAGAAGTAAAGGTCTATAAAAACAGCAACACGACAGCCAGATAAGTAAAACATCCCAGAAGTAAAGGTCTATAAAAACAGCAACACGACAGCCAGATAAGTAAAACATCCTAGAAGTAAAGGTCTATAAAAACAGCAACACGACAGCCAGATAAGTAAAACATCCTAGAAGTAAAGGTCTATAAAAACAGCAACATGACAGCCAGATAAGTAATACATCCTAGAAGTCCCAAGTAAAGGTCTATAAAAACAGCAACACGACAGCCAGATAAGTAAAACATCCTAGAAGTAAAGGTCTATAAAAACAGCAACACGACAGCCAGATAAGTAAAATATCCTAGAAGTAAAGGTCTATAAAAACAGCAACACGACAGCCAGATAAGTAAAACATCCTAGAAGTAAAGGTCTATAAAAACAGCAACACGACAGCCAGATAAGTAAAACATCCTAGAAGTCACAAGTAAAGGTCTATAAAAACAGCAACACGACAGCCAGATAAGTAAAACATCCTAGAAGTCACAAGTAAAGGTCTATAAAAACAGCAACACGACAGCCAGATAAGTAAAACATCCTAGAAGTAAAGGTCTATAAAAACAGCAACACGACAGCCAGATAAGTAAAACATCCTAGAAGTAAAGGTCTATAAAAACAGCAACACGACAGCCAGATAAGTAAAACATCCTAGAAGTAAAGGTCTATAAAAACAGCGACAGCCAGATAAGTAAAACATCCTAGAAGTCACAAGTAAAGGTCTATAAAAACAGCAACACGACAGCCAGATAAGTAAAACATCCTAGAAGTCACAAGTAAAGGTCTATAAAAACAGCAACACGACAGCCAGATAAGTAAAACATCCTAGAAGTAAAGGTCTATAAAAACAGCAACACGACAGCCAGATAAGTAAAATATCCTAGAAGTCACAAGTAAAGGTCTATAAAAACAGCAACACGACAGCCAGATAAGTAAAACATCCTAGAAGTAAAGGTCTATAAAAACAGCAACACGACAGCCAGATAAGTAAAACATCCCTCAGAAGTAAAGGTCTATAAAAACAGCAACACGACAGCCAGATAAGTAAAACATCCTAGAAGTAAAGGTCTATAAAAACAGCAACACGACAGCCAGATAAGTAAAACATCCTAGAAGTAAAGGTCTATAAAAACAGCAACACGACAGCCAGATAAGTAAAACATCCTAGAAGTAAAGGTCTATAAAAACAGCAACACGACAGCCAGATAAGTAAAACATCCTAGAAGTCATCCTAGAAGTAAAGGTCTATAAAAACAGCAACACGACAGCCAGATAAGTAAAACATCCTAGAAGTAAAGGTCTATAAAAACAGCAACACGACAGCCAGATAAGTAAAATATCCTAGAAGTCACAAGTAAAGGTCTATAAAAACAGCAACACGACAGCCAGATAAGTAAAACATCCTAGAAGTAAAGGTCTATAAAAACAGCAACACGACAGCCAGATAAGTAAAACATCCTAGAAGAAGTAAAGGTCTATAAAAACAGCAACACGACAGCCAGATAAGTAAAACATCCTATAAAAACAGCAACACGACAGCCAGATAAGTAAAACATCCTAGAAGTAAAGGTCTATAAAAACAGCAACACGACAGCCAGATAAGTAAAATATCCTAGAAGTCACAAGTAAAGGTCTATAAAAACAGCAACACGACAGCCAGATAAGTAAAACGTCCTAGAAGTAAAGGTCTATAAAAACAGCAACACGACAGCCAGATAGGTAAAACATCCTAGAAGTCACAAGTAAAGGTCTATAAAAACAGCAACACGACAGCCAGATAAGTAAAACATCCTAGAAGTCACAAGTAAAGGTCTATAAAAACAGCAACACGACAGCCAGATAAGTAAAACATCCTAGAAGTAAAGGTCTATAAAAACAGCAACACGACAGCCAGATAAGTAAAATATCCTAGAAGTCACAAGTAAAGGTCTATAAAAACAGCAACACGACAGCCAGATAGTAAAAGTCCTAGAAGTCACAAGTAAAGGTCTATAAAAACAGCAACACGACAGCCAGATAAGTAAAACATCCTAGAAGTCACAAGTAAAGGTCTATAAAAACAGCAACACGACAGCCAGATAAGTAAAATATCCTAGAAGTCACAAGTAAAGGTCTATAAAAACAGCAACACGACAGCCAGATAAGTAAAACATCCTAGAAGTAAAGGTCTATAAAAACAGCAACACGACAGCCAGATAAGTAAAATATCCTAGAAGTCACAAGTAAAGGTCTATAAAAACAGCAACACGACAGCCAGATAAGTAAAACATCCTAGAAGTCACAAGTAAAGGTCTATAAAAACAGCAACACGACAGCCAGATAAGTAAAACATCCTAGAAGTAAAGGTCTATAAAAACAGCAACACGACAGCCAGATAAGTAAAATATCCTAGAAGTCACAAGTAAAGGTCTATAAAAACAGCAACACGACAGCCAGATAAGTAAAACATCCTAGAAGTCACAAGTAAAGGTCTATAAAAACAGCAACACGACAGCCAGATAAGTAAAACATCCTAGAAGTCACAAGTAAAGGTCTATAAAAACAGCAACACGACAGCCAGATAAGTAAAACATCCTAGAAGTCACAAGTAAAGGTCTATAAAAACAGCAACACGACAGCCAGATAAGTAAAACATCCTAGAAGTCACAAGTAAAGGTCTATAAAAACAGCAACACGACAGCCAGATAAGTAAAACATCCTAGAAGTAAAGGTCTATAAAAACAGCAACACGACAGCCAGATAAGTAAAACATCCTAGAAGTCACAAGTAAAGGTCTATAAAAACAGCAACACGACAGCCAGATAAGTAAAACATCCTAGAAGTCACAAGTAAAGGTCTATAAAAACAGCAACACGACAGCCAGATAAGTAAAACATCCTAGAAGTAAAGGTCTATAAAAACAGCAACACGACAGCCAGATAAGTAAAATATCCTAGAAGTCACAAGTAAAGGTCTATAAAAACAGCAACACGACAGCCAGATAAGTAAAACATCCTAGAAGTCACAAGTAAAGGTCTATAAAAACAGCAACACGACAGCCAGATAAGTAAAACATCCTAGAAGTCACAAGTAAAGGTCTATAAAAACAGCAACACGACAGCCAGATAAGTAAAACATCCTAGAAGTCACAAGTAAAGGTCTATAAAAACAGCAACACGACAGCCAGATAAGTAAAACATCCTAGAAGTAAAGGTCTATAAAAACAGCAACACGACAGCCAGATAAGTAAAATATCCTAGAAGTCACAAGTAAAGGTCTATAAAAACAGCAACACGACAGCCAGATAAGTAAAACGTCCTAGAAGTAAAGGTCTATAAAAACAGCAACACGACAGCCAGATAAGTAAAACATCCTAGAAGTCACAAGTAAAGGTCTATAAAAACAGCAACACGACAGCCAGATAAGTAAAACATCCTAGAAGTCACAAGTAAAGGTCTATAAAAACAGCAACACGACAGCCAGATAAGTAAAACATCCTAGAAGTCACAAGTAAAGGTCTATAAAAACAGCAACACGACAGCCAGATAAGTAAAACATCCTAGAAGTAAAGGTCTATAAAAACAGCAACACGACAGCCAGATAAGTAAAATATCCTAGAAGTCACAAGTAAAGGTCTATAAAAACAGCAACACGACAGCCAGATAAGTAAAACATCCTAGAAGTAAAGGTCTATAAAAACAGCAACACAACAGCCAGATAAGTAAAACGTCCTAGAAGTAAAGGTCTATAAAAACAGCAACACGACAGCCAGATAAGTAATACATCCTAGAAGTCACAAGTAAAGGTCTATAAAAACAGCAACACGACAGCCAGGTAAGTAAAACATCCTAGAAGTAAAGGTCTATAAAAACAGCAACACGACAGCCAGATAAGTAAAACATCCTAGAAGTAAAGGTCTATAAAAACAGCAACACGACAGCCAGATAAGTAAAACATCCTAGAAGTAAAGGTCTATAAAAACAGCAACACGACAGCCAGATAAGTAAAACATCCTAGAAGTCACAAGTCAAGGTCTATAAAAACAGCAAGGTCTATAAAAACGCAACACGACAGCCAGATAAGTAAAATATCCTAGAAGTCACAAGTAAAGGTCTATAAAAACAGCAACACGACAGCCAGATAAGTAAAACATCCTAGAAGTCACAAGTAAAGGTCTATAAAAACAGCAACACGACAGCCAGATAAGTAAAACATCCTAGAAGTCACAAGTAAAGGTCTATAAAAACAGCAACACGACAGCCAGATAAGTAAAACATCCTAGAAGTAAAGGTCTATAAAAACAGCAACACGACAGCCAGATAAGTAATACATCCTAGAAGTCACAAGTAAAGGTCTATAAAAACAGCAACACGACAGCCAGATACGTAAAACATCCTAGAAGTAAAGGTCTATAAAAACAGCAACACGACAGCCAGATAAGTAAAACGTCCTAGAAGTAAAGGTCTATAAAAACAGCAACACGACAGCCAGATACGTAAAATATCCTAGAAGTAAAGGTCTATAAAAATAGCAACATGACAGCCAGATAAGTAATACATCCTAGAAGTCACAAGTAAAGGTCTATAAAAACAGCAACACGACAGCCAGATAAGTAAAACGTCCTAGAAGTCCCAAGTCAAGGTCTATAAAAACAGCAACACGACAGCCAGATAAGTAATACATCCTAGAAGTCACAAGTAAAAGTCTATAAAAATGAGAGGTCAAGTCCTAAATAACCCAAACATTACAGTTGTCCGAGGTTAAGTCCTAAATAAACTTAACATAACAGCCCTCATAGTTTAAGTCCCGAATGCCAAAAAAACCTTTGAGATATCAAAAGCAATGTTGTGACAGAGAGTTTAAATCATGTACATCTATGGTGGTAAAACCCAGCCCTATATCTACCTAGATAATGAAAACAAAAGCATGACATCCATAAAACAGCGTCTTCTATGGGTCATTAAAAATTAATGCACACAAAACACCAAATACTTGTCAAAGACATGAAAATGCAAAATGAATGCAAGAGAGACAAAACCAAACCAAAAAGCATATCAGAGGTCAATTAACCACAAAAACAAAAGAATACACCATACTAATGACATAAGCAAGACGAGTCCTTTGTGAAGCTGAATATCGTCACATCACAAGAGTTAGGCCTCCCGTTTGTTACCACGCCGATACCATACTAATGTATATATATGTAAATCTAGCCTACCTGGTTGAGTGCTTCCTGCGCTTTTTCTTGCGCAAGTTTAAATAGATCCACATCATCATCTGTGACATGTGGTGGAAGTCCGTTGTTATCAAGCTCCATTTTCTCGTCATCTGTTGAAAGGAAAATACCAATCTTAGATGACATCATATAATTTGAGCTACTGAATTTGGAAGTTCAATTTCTTCATTTAATCAGTCCTGGTTTTTACCAACCTAAGCAAGCTTTAAGAAAATATTCATAAACACTATTATAAATTTGAATAGATACAGGTATCAGTGCTAAGATATCCAACAGTATATATTTTTTCAGGATACACAATGACGTCAACAATTCTTACCAATTCCTTCAAATTATGATATCAATATTATAAATATTCATTCAGACACACTTTCTATAACTCATTTATTTGTTTAAATATCAGTCACAGCAGCAATGAGATTCATTTTAGCTCACTAAGTGATTACTTCATGCTAGATCTAAACAAATATATATCACATACAAACATTCCTTTTTCACTCTGATTTTGCATGCATCACAACAAAAAACATCAATGTCATCAGAGTAAGGCAACTTCTACTAAATACATGGAAACTTTGACCCTTCGACCAACAAGACATTTTTAAACCTTCACCAACAATCTGAAGTGTTTAAGGTGCAATGTATGCAGTAGAATATACCTTCGGGCAAATTTAACACAAGAAGAAAGTCTTTTTGGAAGACAAATGTTTCCTTTATACAGTACACTGACATCCCAACCCTCCCCCCTCCATCTTTCAGACTGCTACACTGATTTAAACTAAACTAAAACTACTGTTATGTTCTGTGTCGTCAAACTACCACACAAGGACATCCCTATAGTCATACTTGTATATAAAGACTGTAGCCAAACTCCCATACAAGGACACCTCTGTAGTCAAACTCCCATACAAGGACACCTCTGCAGTCAAACTCCCATACAAGGACACCTCTGCAGTCAAACTCCCATACAAGGACACCTCTGAAGTCAAACTCCTATACAAGGACACCTCTGTAGTCAAACTCCCATGCAAGGACACCTCTGCAGTCAAACTCCCATACAAGGACACCTCTGCAGTCAAACTCCCATACAAGGACACCTCTGCAGTCAAACTCCCATACAAGGACACCTCTGAAGTCAAACTCCCATACAAGGACACCTCTGTAGTCAAACTCCCATACAAGGACACCTCTGCAGTCAAACTCCCATACAAGGACACCTCTGCAGTCAAACTCCCATACAAGGACACCTCTGAAGTCAAACTCCCATACAAGGACACCTCTGTAGTCAAACTCCCATACAAGGACACCTCTGCAGTCAAACTCCCATACAAGGACACCTCTGCAGTTAAACTCCCATACAAGGACACCTCTGTAGTCAAAATCCCATCTCTGTAGTCAAAATCCCATACAAGGACACCACTGAAGTCAAACTCCCATACAAGGACACCTCTGTAGTCAAACTCCCATACAAGGACACCTCTGTAGTCAAAATACCATCTCTGTAGTCAAACTCCCATACAAGGACACCTCTGCAGTCAAACTCCCATACAAGGACACCTCTGCAGTCAAACTCCCATACAAGGACACCTCTGAAGTCAAACTCCCATACAAGGACACCTCTGTAGTCAAACTCCCATACAAGGACACCTCTGCAGTCAAACTCCCATACAAGGACACCTCTGCAGTCAAACTCCCATACAAGGACACCTCTGTAGTCAATCTCCCATACAAGGACACCTCTGTAGTCAAACTAGCTCACATGGACACCTCCATTGTCACTCCCTCAAAAGGACACCTCTGTAGTCATCAAACTCACACACAAGCACATCCCTGTTGTCAAACTCACACACAAGCACATCCCTGTTGTCAAACTCACACACAAGCACATCCCTGTTGTCAAACTTGCACACAATGACTTTGTTTTTACGTTCTCACCAAAGGATATGTGTTGTAAAGTTCACACCAAAGGACATCTCTGTTGTCAAACTGGCACCAAAGGAAGACTCTGATGTCAAACTTACACACAATGACACATCTGTTGTGAAGCTCACACCATGGGACACTACTATGTCAAACTCATATAAAAAGGACACCCCTGTTTAAAACTCAACCAAAGGACACCCCTGCTGTCAAACTCACATGTCAGGACAAAACTATGCCAAACTCACACCAAAGTACACCTCTGTTGTAGCACTAAAACCAAAGGACGCCTCTGTTGTCAAACTCACACCAAAGGATGCCTCTGTATTCAACTCACACCAAAGGAAGCCCCTGTAGTCAACTCAAACCAAAGACCACCTCTGTTGTCAAACTCACACCAAAGGATGCCCCTGTATTCAACTCACACCAAAGGAAGTCCCTGTAGTCAACTCACACCAAAGGACGGCCCTGTAGTCAACTCACACCAAAGGATGGGGCTGTAGTTAACTCAAACCAAAGGATGCCCCTGTAGTCAACTCACACCAAAGGACGCCTCTGTTGTCAAACTCACACCAAAGGATGCCTCTGTTGTCAAACTCACACCAAAGGACGCCCCTGTATTCAACTCACACCAAAGGACGCCCCTGTAGTCAACTCACCAAAGGACGCCCCTGTAGTCAACTCACCAAAGGACGCCCCTGTAGTCAACTCACACCAAAGGACGCCCATGTAGTCAACTCACACCAAAGGACGCCCCTGTAGTCAATTCACCAAAGGACGCCCCTGTAGTCAACTCACACCAAAGGACGCCCCTGTAGTCAGCTCACCAAAGGACGCCCCTGTAGTCAACTCACACCAAAGGACACCTTTCTTATTTACACACAAGTACACCACTTAAGTCAGTTTTGTAAGCTAATTCTTTATATATCAATACTGACACTTAATTTTTAGTTGAAATACTTCTGTGTAATTTTCCTCTCCTAATTAATGTCTATAGATTTTCCCTCTTTACAAAGCCTCCTATATTGTTCCCTTACTTTATCACTGTTACGTCCCATACCTTGGTCAGAGTTATTATGTGTGTCTCCCGTTAAAAAGTTGCCCTGTTTTATCATAGATGGATTATATATAACAATGACGCATGGGTTTGCATTAGATTTGTAATTCCTAGATAAATACACACCCATTCCCACCACCACCACCACCACGTCATCTCATCCTTGAACAGTCAAACCTACTACTCAACAGTACCACCGATTGCCAAACCAAGCAATAATTAATTAAGAATTTTTCTTATTTGTAATAAATGCAGTAAATACTGACAGAATGCTTTGGTGGCCGAGTGAACTGTTTTATCAGGTGGTTTGACTGTCACGTTTTCTTTTTTTTTAGAAAACTATGTGCATTAATAAATTTACAAGAAATAACACAATGAGAACAGAACACATGCAATTAATCAAAGGCAAACTACACAGGAAGTTTCTCTTTTTTTTTCATTTCAAAACCAATAATCTTTATTTGTGAACAGAATGCAGATTGGAAAGGAAACACAAGAGAACACAGAAGCAGGAGAGTATGTAGACAACCCATGCACAGCCTGTTGTTATATAAACATCATTTCATAAAGATAAAGCAATCAACAAGAAAACGCAGATTTAAACTACAAAGAATGATTCTTCACAAAACCAGCACACACTGCCAGAAAAACATAAAGGGCAGCGCGCAACAATTTGATGTACTTCATCCCGACAAATCTGCAATCTGTTCAGAGAAGCATGAGTGACACCTTTGAACCATTTTTGCGTTTAACTGTATTTTAGAATTTTCATTTTCATTTATAATCGGAAGACGCCAAATCCTTTGCCAATTTGCTTTTTTTAAATATATATATTTACTGACGCAGACAAAAACAAATGATCGATGGATGCAAAAGTAGGCAGGGCTGCATGTCATGCCTCTCATGCTGTAGAGGTCAAGGTCATAGTGAACTGAGGTCACGAAACAAGGCCAAGGCTACCAACCACATCATGCACTACTGCCCTAGCTAGCTAGCCTATGCGACGGTACAGGTGTGCGAGCAGAGGATGATGACTAGACCCTCCGGGCGTGGGACACAGCAACTCAAGCAATGGTGAGCAGGGGCCGGGTGCTACACGGGAGGACTACCTTTTGACAGATGGTGGGTTACAGAGCTGTGTAAACGTGACTTGAGTCTTACCCCTGTGTCCTAATCCACCAGAAAGGATAACAGAGTCCTCATCATCATCATCATCATCTTTACTGCTGTCATCATCATCATCATCATCATCGTCATCATCGTCATCTTCGCTCTCTGATGAAGAGGCCGGGGGGACGGGGATACCGTGACTGCCACCCCTCCCCCGCCCCCGACCCCTTGGTGTATGTGTCATTGGTGACTGGACAATTGGCGACGATGTAAGTTTGGAATGTGCACCTCTGGCAGGTCTGCCTACCACTGGTGATGAAGATAATGACAGGACCTTGGACTCAAACAAACTGTTCATTAGTTCCTTCTTTGCACCTCGTCCCATTCCTCTCCCAACACCTCTCCCTTTACCTCTACCCATTCCTCGACCTACGCCACGACCCACTCCTCTGCCAGCACTCATTCCTCGACCTGGGGGAAGGTTCTTGCTGAATGGTCTCCCAAGTTTTACTCTTCCTCGTGAAAATGGCCTTCCTCTGCTGAATGGCCTGCCTTCACTGAAAGGTCTTCCACGACTAAAGGGTCTACCTCGACTAAATGGTCTACCTCGACTAAATGGTCTACCTGCACTGTAAGGTCTCCCACGATTAAAAGACTGTTCTTTACTAAATGATTGCCCCCTCTTACTGAAGGGCCTACCACGACTAAAGGGCCTGCCTCTAGTGCTAAATGGTCTCCCTCTGCCGAAAGGCCTCCCTCGTTTAACAAAGGGTCGCCCTCTACTCTGCCCTCTCCCCCGCATTGAATTAAGTGTACTACTACCCCTAGCCCTACCTCGACCACGCCCCCTACCTCGGCCTGCTCCTCGTCCACGGGCCACAGGGAGCTCTGGTATAACCAGAGGAAAGTCATTGGACGGTTCAACTAATATAGCAGGCTGGGTTTGCCCTTCCAAAGAGTCAACAGAGGAAGAGGAAGAGGGAGAGCATGATCTCGCTGCTGGCTTTTCTAGAATGTTAGTGATATTGTTATTATCGTTACTATAAATAGGACTACACTTGTTGAAATAATCAGATATCTTCATTCGTCGTCGACCTCTTGCTACTGGAGCATAATCTGGAACCAATTTTTTCCTTTCCCCTTGAGCTGTAAACAAATGGGACAGTCCGTCAAATAACCCCTTCAGTTGCCCACTGCCCGGAGGCCCCGTGTATTTGTGCCTTTTGGCAGCCTGTAACAACCTAGAGCGTTTAAGTATCCTACTGGCAGCCTGCTGTGAGTTGCTTTGTGATTGTTTTACACCATTGTTTATAGAACAGGCTTTATTGGACAGCGCTGTAAAGTCACCAGAATTCAAAGACACCCTAGAAGTTCTTTTGTTTGATGGCGTGAAAAACCGTGACAAGCCATCGACTAAGCCCTTGGGTTTGGTCAAGGCAAAAAACGGCTCAAAGGTGCTAGTCTCCTCATCGCTCTCTGACTGATCACCGGGAGATGAAGAACTGTCGTCCTTTGTTTGTTTAGTAGATGCTACTTTACCAGATGAGGACTCGTCCTCCGACTCAGAGCCAGAGTGGCTTCCATGTATGCCATTCTTGACCCCAAATTTTTTCTGTATGCGGAAGATTCGTCTTTGCTGTGGCGTCAACAGTGGACAAAATATTTGCCTGCAAACCAAATTTTCATTAGTTTTCACAGTAGCAGTCTCAAAGGAGTTGTATTATTTTCTGCATCATCATTTTTGTTCATAGAGTACTAAAATCAAGAGTTAATCTAGGTATATTCATCAGCTCAATAGTGCAATAATGATGTTTGGCACAAGGAGATCAATTCAATAACTTTGAATGAATCAAAACAAAACAAAAATATGAACCAACAAAATATTAAAATCAAGAATATGAAGAATAACATGAAAGGCAGTACTCACGTCCGATGGACCGCTGATTTACCGTTCACATTACCAGCTCCATCACAGCCTGGGGTTGCACATCTAAAAAGTCACAAAATAAAGGTTCCTCTGAAGTACTCCTTCCTGATTCATATATTATATAGTCTCTCTCTTCTTAAAATTCATTTTGATGTTTTACTATTTCATTGGAGATTGAGGAAACAGTGTAACCTGTCCCTTCCATCCCATTCCAAACCTTTAACACTGTTCTAACAACATGGTTTCCTTAACGATTTTGATAAAGATACAAACACACTTCATATGGCATATCACCACAGCCGAAGCTTACAAAAAGCATATTCCTTTTTCTTCATATTAATCAACTCTCCAGCGGATTGACAAAATTTACATGCGAAGTGACCAAGAAACTAGTCCCTAGATCTATTGATCAGTATCACTTCTTTTCAAAATAAAAATCTTACTTTGCAACTGGGGGTTTCTCTTTTGGGGTTCGCACACCCTTTGTTGTCACCGTTTTGCTGAATTTCTTTTTCATTTTAGCTGCCAGTTCCAAATAACGTTTCCCCTTTTTGCTGCCTCGGTTGGGGTCGCATATGTTGCACTTCCATTTGCCTGTCAATTTTAAGCCACATTTCAATTAAACAGTCCCTCAAAAATTAAATCTTAAGTTGTATTTTAATTTAAAATTTCCCATCAATTAGCATGATTTTACTAAATTTTTCAGAAAGATGATGAGAAAGATGTCAACATTTCTTCTATTTAATTTGTTTTATTCTCACGGTGTAAACATCTAAAAAAAATAGCAATCACAACATATAATTGTCAATAAATAAGCAGGCTGCCTGTTTGCCATTTCATTATTACAGTTTACAATGTGATAATTGAAGGATGTTAAGCACTTCTGTGATTACCCCTGAAAACATAATGACAAATAAACTTGATTCCAATGGTTTCTAACATTTCTAGAGTGTGTATATCTATATTTCAACAGTTTATTAACAATAACATAAATATCAACATTGGATTTCTGTATTTTTGAATTATTAAAATAAAACCAATATTCTGGACTATTTAAGTATTAGGGAATCCTCGAACAAAGAAATACAATCTATAATATCATCTATATAATTTTTCAGTGAGAATAAATAAATGTATGTTGGGCTCTATTTCAATAAGGACATGAATTCTGAACGGTAGGGTAAATATGTTATCAACAAATACCTGAGAGCTGTATTTTACTCTAGAGAATGCTGTATTACTGATAATAACCATCAACAGTATTTAATAACCTTTAACAGTACTTCATACTCAATGTTAAAAGCTGATAATATACTTAAACAACTATAAAAATGGTAGTGACAGACTAGGTAAAGTTTCTAGAATTCAAATATGATAAATACACTCCAAACTTCAACAAAATATTTTTGAAATTATTTTGGTTGCTAGGTTCAACAAAACATTTTTGAAATTATTTTGGTTGCTAGGTTTGTCAAATACTGTTGCTAAACATTTGCCAGAATGTATTGTTTCACACAAGTAGGTTTGACATATTTTATAAATATACCTTTTGGGGCTTTGTTAAGTGGTGGATCACAACAACCCATATGAAAACCACGGTCACAGCAATCACAGAAAAGCATGTTATCCTGAAAAAGTTTAATAGAAAATATTCAAACATTGCATGAGGTTTCATAAACAACAACATCTCAGGAACAAGTATCAATTTAAAATTAAGTAATCTGTACAAAAGAAAATGCCATTTTATTATCATCAATTTGGCTCAACATCAATTTCTAACACTCTTGAACAGTAATGTCTTGAATCAGAAGATCCTAGAGAGTTAATTCAACTTCCGCAGCATTTTTGGGATTCAGACCAAATATATATTATTGCAGAAACAAAGTTTTTAAACTGTTCTGTAGTTTGAAAATTTAACAGTCCTTTAACTGACTGATACTTAAATTATCAAGCATAAATTGACGATTTAGATATGATTTCATGTTCCAGGGTTGCAATGCAGATTCCTATACATAACAGCATATACTTGGAATTATTGTGTGGTGTTGTATATGAATCTAAGACTGTCAAGTGAACCCTACAGGGCCTGAAAGCAACTGAAGCGTTCAACTGTATATGTGCATACCTCCCTTCCAGATTTTTGACAAAAGGAACATTTTTTACAGTCAATACACTGCCATCTAAGAGCTTTCACCACTTCTGTCAACTCTGCAGAAAACTTCAGACAAGATGGGTGACCTGAAAAACAATTACATTATCACCAAGGTTGATAATTACACAGGTCAGATTGGTAACAAATTACAGGTAGACTCCAGAACCGGAGATCATACAGTCCTATATTCAAAATTTGTCAATTTTTCTATCAAACACGAATAGGGTACAGAACTTGTGAATTTGTTTTTTAAGTTAGGGGGATATTTCAGCTTCCACTAGAACATTCAACTGTTTCTTTCAGAAACCAATTTGAAAAATAGCAAAGCCGATGTCACGTCTATATTTATTGTCTGCTTTGTTTTTTATGCTCAAGTGTTTGCTTCAAATGTTCACAAGATTATCATCACAACAGCGAATGGCCATCATTATACCCATTTCTTAAACTTTGGTGACAAACTCTCAATACTGATATTTCTGTATTGTACAGCACCACAACCTACCACTGTTTCCACAGTCAGCACAGGAAATGAGATCCTCATATTCATTATTGCGGTTCTTGTTCTCATCCCCCAAGCAGAAACAGCAGATTGGAATAGGTTTGGCACATTTCTGAAAAACATATAATACATACTAGGTACTTTTTCCAAGTAAAAAACCACTGCTCCCTGACCATATTTTTCCTGTACTGCTTTTGTAAATTTGAAGCACTAATCTTGAATAAAACATGTATCCCATTACAATAGGGCTCATCCTTCAATATTCAGGTATCACCTGAAAAAACATCCAACAATTGGAAACACTTGACATTATTTTACACTTTTTCTTAAAACTTTCTCCAGTCTATAGCATTCTCAATAGCCTATGTTTACAAATATCTACATGCTCTAATTTAGTTTTTTATGACCATACAAATGAAATAAACTCACTATGTAATTAATTTCCTTGTATAAACATTTTTATTGTTACTAATTTATATTCCATAAGCTGCAAATTATATATTCCATGCATATTTTGTAAAGGAACACTATGGAACAGCCTTTCATAGAAAAAACTCTGAAGAGCAGGGGAGCAATTATGAATGTAAACTGTAGACTTTCCCAGAAACCTGTATCGAGTGTTTATCCCAGACCGGTCATTTCCAAGAGTAGATTATAAGAACCAACCGAAACAGTCTCCGCAACTTGGAAAAAACTCCTGAGAGTTAGGAAGCAATTATGAATCTAAACTGTAGACTTTCCCAGATACCTATATCAAGTGTTGATCCCAGGCTGGTCATTCCCAAGAGCAGTTTATAAGAACCCAACGAAACAGTCTCCGCAACTTTGAAAAAACTCCCGAGAGTTGGGAAGCAATTATGAATCTAAACTGCAGACTTTCCCAGATACCTGTATCAAGTGTTGATCCCAGGCCTGTCATTCCCAAGAGCAGTTTATCAGAACCCCATGAAACAGCTTCAGCAACCAGTAAAAAACTGTGAGAGTTGGGAGCAATTATGAATCTAAACTGTAGACTTTCCCAGATACCTGTATCAAGTGTTGATCCCAGGCCTGTCATTTTTAACTGAGCCGGTATAGTATACCTTTAGCTACTGGCTATGGAGCTAATCAATTAATCTGGTGGAATTTCTGCTGTTATACAACAGTGTATTGATTTTGTTTATGGTGGTAGCTGTGGCCTAACTGTGCCAGACAGGCTGTGCTCCATGTAACTGTTGGGTGCTGTATGAGTGGTATTAGATGTCTCATTACTGACTAGATAAATACACGAGGTGGAATTTCATACATGATCATTGCCTGCCTGTGCCCATGGGCTGCAGTAAGGAGTGATGATAGGAGTAATCTGCATTTCCTACCAGGCTGCTAGTTCAAGATCAACATACATCATTTAATAGCAATTTATACATGGTATAGTGCCCTTCATCAATTCAATCAACATGAAAATAGCTTAGTGCATGTATCTGTTACAACACATTTGTCTTCACCCTCACTCATCTCAATTGCAGCCACTCAGTCATTCTCAATTTCATATTGTAAACCAGTAAACCTTTTAAATATCTCTAGATATATCCACCCAACACCATCTAAAGTCACTGATATTGGTCTTTAAATCACAAATTAGGGCCACCTACTGTGTTAATTTGCCTTCTACTGTCAGCTCTCGACATCTGACCACTAATCAAAATCTACAAATGTTAACTCTTTAAACAACCATTCTAGCATTAATTCTGATCAAGACAAAAAGAACCTGGCAAAACATAGTGTAAAACGTCAATTTCTCTATGACTTTTTATCAATCTAAACCCAACCTTTCCCTCTGCTCCAATACAATTAGCATGTTCACCTGACAAGATCATTCAGGATGTTTGTATTTTAAGGTAAGGAGGTAAAAAGTCAAAGCTCTATTTCAGTTCACCTTCTAATCAAAGTGTATGACACATGCGTAGTTAAATAAACTGACACTAATTAATGAGAACTGGTTCATTTACCAAGAAAGTGGACGTGACTTCATTTCGTTTTATTCAAGAAGAATTTCACAGTTTTGAAAATACACAATTCATGAAATCTTGCACTTTTAAATAAATGTTGGGGAAAAAAATATTGAAAGAACATATTAACGGTCAGAACTCCTTTCCTCAAAAATTAAAAATCTCAAAATTTAAATTGATGGTTACTTAAAAACTTGCCAACGATTGTTAAGGGTCTTGAAGTAATGGACCTCTTGAATAATACATTGGTCCTGCATGAATACTTAAAACAGCACAAAAAAACATTTGGAAATTATCAAATTACTCTTCCTCTCCTGAACAACCCTAGACTTAATATCCACATTGTGATCACTACTGCTTAATTAGTTGGACAGCATTTCAAATTAATTGTTTCAACTAATTTTCACTACATTGTAACAATTGATCAATATCAAAACAATCATTGGTGAAAAATTTAACCAGTCTAACTGAGCAATTTCCCATATTATAGCTAGAGCCATTTTTTTCTCTCTCCTTCGATACCTGAAGACACTTGTACTATATTGTACTTCATTCATTAACTGATAAATACTTGTCAGACAACATTTGATCTTTAATTTTCTTGTACAAATTTCTTCATATTTTGGGGCCCTGTTGATAATTACCAAATTCTGCTCAAAGGAAAATGAGAGGTCACTTCCAGAGTCCTCATCAAAAGATCCGGAGTGACTACTGCTTCCTGCCGAGTCAGACTCCTGACTTTTCTCTCCAAGCTTGATGGTGCGTCCATCTTTGACTAATAATCCTGATGTTTCTCCCTTCTTCACAGAATCCTTCAACTGGTGCATCAATTCAATCCCATCGTGCAGTTCCACAGTGTAACTGTTTTGAATGTTCTTTTCGATCTTTGACAAGGACGACCCATCAGCCTCACCCATTGCTCGGATAGACCTGATAATAATTTTGCACAAGTCTGTTGATTTATCAACATGTAAAACCCTTGGTTTAAGGTGTGCGTTTGCATCTGCATCTTTGTACGAGACCAAACCTTTGTTGTAGACTTGTAAAACAGTACCATCCTTGATAGCAAGATTTAGCTGTTCTTCAATGGAATCTTTAGTAACTTTGTGATATTGCTGAATTGCATGACAGATTCGATCCAAACTAGGTCGCTGTTTCTGACATTTCACTTTCCCAATGGCCTCTAAAATCCATTTCAAATATGTCGGATTAGCAAGGCCTTCCCTCTCTCCCTCTTTCACCATTTCTATTCCAAAAATGGGTTATGATTAGGAGGTAAATAACAATATTTAATATTCACATTTTCTGGGCTACGTATTACGTGTAGTGTCAAATTTTTATATTCTCAAATAATTCTCCTATAGCCATGAATTGGTTTTCTTTTAGTAGGCCCAAAGCAAATCACAATGCTTTAGACGCATCTTGAATTTACTTAAAAACTTCATTTTGAACCTGAAAAATAAAGAAATAAAATGTATTAATATTTCATTTTCTCAAATTCAAAACATCTTCAAATCAATTAACATATTTCAACTTATTTGACTAGTGATAACAATAAAAAAAACAAGATCAATGGGTAACATTTAAAACTCTCCAAACATTTTGTTCAAACAGAACGTTTTTATGTAAAAAAAAAGTAACGTTTGAAGAAAATTTGTTCATTTAATAACTTCGCTTGATATTATAAAGCATAAATAAAGAAATGCAGTTCACTTAAAATGTTGAAAATTTCAATTGATAGTCATAAAAATATGTCATTTTGCTGGAAATGACGTTTTTAGATATTTCAGGGTGTGAAACATTCGGGAAATGTTACATACAACTTCTATCGTTATTCGAATTACGCCGTGAAAGATATTTGAATACAATTATCCACGCCCATGTACAAAGAAAACATTATTAAAATCGAGAAATAACATTATACGTCCGGTTCAAACTGAAATTCTCACTGTTTTTGTCAAAACCGATCACAGAAGACCAAGCGGATTTGGCCAGACAAGCATATTTCCTTCTGAAATATCGTTTTCTTTACAAAATCAAATTATTTCTTACAAAAACTCCACGCCCGAAATTGCCACCCCGTGAAAGCTGTTAACAACGAAATTTGACAAGATATAGCCAAACTTTTTAAAAAATCAAAACGGACAGATTGTGAATAATCAGATTTGTACAATCCGCTAAGCAACGCCTGGCCCGAACCGAGAAGAAAACGTAAAATGGCGACTAAGGGTACATCGGAATAGCAGCCATGATAATAATGGCGGCAACTGTATGTGACGATTACTACACTCGAATTCAAGCATATTGAGAGTAATTTAGTCACAGAAATGACCTTATAAGTATCGCTAATACCCCTTAGACATATATCTCATAACAGTTGAGTGTGATAATGATTCGGAAACATCTAAACACAAAAAATGTTTTGCATCATCATGTCGGACTGTCAACAATGATTTCAAAATTTGAACCGTGCAAACAAACAGTAAATATCAGTTAACTCACCGTTTGATTCCCTTCTAAATATTTCAATCCAATAGTTTAAAGTATCTCTTTAAGCATAACATACACAAATCGTTTTGTCTCTGACTCTAAATGTCCAGAAAAATGTAAAATCACAAGCCTCCAGGTCTCCTCGGTTCGACTAGCTGTCCGCCATTGAAAATATGGCTACCAATGAACTACGGACGCTCGTGGATCGTTGGGAGAATTTAGACTTTCAGGTCAATTTTTTACATGATCTTGCATTTTTTATGACAAAATATGACACCAAACATGGCTAAATCAGCTAGAGGCAAATCAGATATATATTTTTCTATCATATGACAATATTTTGGACGAGCAAACTATCATCATTATTTTATTTTTGTATTTTTATAAATCACGACCTAGTGTAGTTCTCCCTGCGCGTTGGTTTGTTGAAACAATTTGTCCTGTTCTTTACAATAACGAATTCTGATTGGTCAATGGTGATAAGTGATATGCTTTGATTCTTATGAGCACACATGAGTGTAACAGACCTAAATATATTAGCCTATTAGTAAATAATTTAAGGGTGAAATAAGTGCTTTGGAAAGGCAAAGACAGCTAGATTATTAACATATTGTAACAGAAGAAACACAAGAAAGAGGTGATTCCATGAGTCATTCCCCACAATAAAATAAATTTATAACACGGACAGTAAAACACCCAGCCTGGCTTCATCCCCTGATACAAGCAATGTAAATAAACAATTTGAGAAATCATACAATGACAATATTTTGTCAGATTTCTTGCATGTTTGTATCCGATTCATTGATTAACACTGCTACAGTGACCACGTGTTAGTGTTTGTAAACAAGGGAAAGGTCCATCAAGTATGACACACTGAAAAGCGCGATTTTCTTTTTGATATCTAGCCCAGATATCAATACATTTTTTCGATATTACCGAACTTGTAAATTGTGACTGAATAACACATTTCCGCGGCACAGCCACGTTTTACTTTGACACCCTCCAATATTTCTAACTTTTCAGAGACATACATACAGATTAAAGTTTTTTTTTTTTTTTTTTTCAAATAACACCATCCTCTTATATTTCAGATAAAATCTCGACATTTTTACCGCAACAAAAACAGGGACGTAGATAAAAAAAAAACAGTTATCTACGTCCCTGAAAAAAGCAAGTGTGGACTGAGAATAGTAGGGGCTTGGGGACTGGGATAGGGGTGGAGATGGGTTGGCAAAATTATATAACTTAGCCTATTATGGTTAGAGGGAGAAATAAAACACAAACAGTTTTCTGGAATCTTTATTTCAATAGTTGCTACAAAAAGTATCTTTCACGATTTTTTGTTTGGTTGCTTGCTTGGTTTATCGGACCATGTGTTTGCTTGCTTGGTTTGGCGCCCCATGAATGACCGGAGTCATTTTCAGGCGGGCTTTCCTTGCAGTAGTTGGTCGTACCTCACTGAACAAAATACGGGAGGCCCGTTGCGTGCACCAGAGCAATTTTACACGATAACGCATGAAATTGAATTTCTTTCCATTTCTTAAATATTACTTTTCATATATGTATTATGCGTTTTGAATTTTGACGAAGACATTTGTAAATTGAGTTTAAAATTCAAAGATTCGTCTTCAGTTTGAATTAACTCCCGAGAGACCTGGATTAATCAAATTTACTTTTTCAAGCCAGCAGTTATTTCAAATGATAATGTGTTTAATTGAAAAGGGCTTGCGAAGATACTGAAAAATGCAAACTCTTGAAAAACATGTTTGATACAAGTTACAAAAGGATTCGGATTGTTAACTCAACACGGATATTTTTGCTTGTCCGAGTAATAAATTCCCTCACTTAAAGTTAAATACGAATAAAAAAAAAAGGATAGCTACACTTGTCAGATTTCTAGGTATGACATCGATTTCTCATAGTACATTACACAGGTGTCAATCAGTTACTACAGGAGAAATGACACGTGTCATATGATAACCACAAGACATATTGTATGTATCAAATACATATGATATATTGCACGTGTCAAACACAGAACAAGCTTCCACCATTTTTAAAATGGTGTCAAGTTTATGTGACAATTATCATAGGAGATGTGACATGTGTCAGTTAGCGGAAAGACAGAAAATGTGTCAAACGGTGATTATAAATACATTATTGTTGTCATACATTTAGCTCGGGAGATATGACAGGTGTTTAACAGTTATCATAGGAGATATGACATGTATCAAACAATTATCACAGGATATATGACATGTTTCAGATAGTTGCCAAGGGAGATATGAAATGTGTCAGACAGTTGTCACAGGAGTTATGACAGGTGTCTAACAGTTATCATAGGATATATGACATGTGTCATATGATTAACATAGATATGACATGTTTCAGACAGTTGTCAAGGGAGATATGGAACGTGTCAGACAGTTGTCACAGGATTTATGACAGGTGTCTAGCAGTTATCATAGGATATATGACATGTTTCAGACAGTTGTCATGGGAGATATGGCAGTGATCACAGGAGATATGGCATGTGTCATGGGAGACATGACATGTTCCAGGCAGTTATCATAGGAGATATGACAGGTGTCATACAATTGCCACAAGAATTGCACGTGTCCGACATTTATCACATGAGACATGACAAGATTGCCGGAGATATGGAAGTCGTCAGACTGTCGAAACAGGAAATATGACAGGTGTCAAATCGCTGTCAAAGGAGATACGGTGGATGGAAGACATTCTAATAGATATAAGAGATGTGAGATTGTTATAGCCGATGATAAGACATGTGTCAAACAGTTATCAGAGGGAATGACAGGTGTCTGGCAGTTACCGCAGAAGATATGACAGGCATAAGTGAGTCAGTACAGGGGATGTACCAGGTGTCAGACGGTTATCACAGGGGATATGACAAGTGTCATAGAGTTATCACATGAGATATGACAAGTGTCATATAGTTATCAAAGGAGATACGATAGGTGGCAGTTTGGCACATGAAATGCGATAGGTATCAGTCACATATCTGAGATACGAGAGGTGTCAGTTCGTTGTCACGTGGAACATTATAGGTGCTAATCATTACTGGGGATGTGACAGATGTTAGTTATCACGGGAGGTATGTTATGTCCTATAGAGTTACCACGGGAGATATAACAGGTGTCAGGCAATTGTCACAGGAGATATGACAGGTATCAGGCAGTTGTCACAGGAGATATGACAGGTGTCAGTTATAGGGTATATAACACATGTCGAACAGATATAACAAATATCAGAGATTTCACTAGAGACATGACATATTTAAACAGTTATCACAGGAGATATAAAAATATCAGAGATTTCACTAGAAACATGACATATTTAAACAGGTATCACAGGAGATATAACAAATATCAGAGATTTCACTAGAAACATGACATATTTAAACAGGTATCACAGGAGATATAACAAATATCAGAGATTTCACTAGAGACATGACATATTTAAACAGAAACAGTTATCACAGGAGATATAACAAATATCAGAGATTTCACTAGAGACATGACATATTTAAACAGTTATCACAGGAGATATAACAAATATCAGAGATTTCACTAGAAACATGACATATTTAAACAGTTATCACAGGAGATTAACAAATACAGAGAACAGTTATCACAGGAGATATAACAAATATCAGAGATTTCACTAGAAACATGACATATTTAAACAGTTATCACAGGAGATATAACAAATATCAGAGATTTCACTAGAG